AAAGGAGCAAGAGTGATGTTTTGACAAAGTCTTGAATATCAAAGTGCTAATGCTGAATTTCTGGCAGCAGTGGATCCTGGACTTTGCTCGCCATTTTGACCTTGTAAACTCAATAATTGGACTTCTATTATAACAGGACATATTTAGAGCTCTGAATTAGCTTTCCAAATCTTCAAACGGTTCGTCATTCGGAGTTCGGAGCAGAGAGTTATGACCTTCTTATCAGAGGTGCTCAGAACTGCCTGGCGGCAATGAAAGTCTGCCTTGTTCTTCAATTTCTACCAACCAAACTTGAGAATTGGATCTCTAACAAAACATAAAGTTTTTAGAGCTCTGAATTAGTTTTCCAAATCTTCAAACGGTTCATCATTCGGAGTTCAGAGCGCAAAGTTATGGCTGTTTTACCAAAGTAGGTCCGAGCGAAGCAAAGCAAGCATGGAGCAATCTGCTCCATTTTCGAGTGCTCGAGGCCTTATTTTGAGCACTCGAAATTCAGGCAGATTGCACTTTGGAAATGGCTTATTTCAGCCCACTTGCACCTTGGGTTCTTCATTTTGTTTTCCTCTTTAATGAAGTGGTTGGAGATGTTGGTTGGTAGCCTCTTGGAGTGGATAAGATATCTAATAAAGGGAAGCAAGGCCACATATATGATTAAGCTTCATTTTACAAGATAGAGGAGAGAGAAGAGAGAAGGAAGGAAGTGTTCTTCAAGCAAAAAGAGGGGAGCACGAAAATGGAGTTGGAGGCCTTGCTTCTTCCTTCATCTAGAGCTACCATGGGTAACTAACTCTTCCTCTAGGGAGGTGATGAAGTCCCTCCCTTGTACGTATGTCCTAGGGTAGTCTATTTTGGGGGATTGCAATGTATATTTCTATGGTCTTTTTCATAACTAAGAGCCTTTCATTTGTTGTAATGAATGTTTATATATGTATGGTTGATTTCTTCAAGTTCATTATCTTGATTGTTAGGTGATGTCTTGTATGAATCTTATTGCTTGAGTTTTCATGGTGAGAATGGGAACAAGGTTATGAAATGGTTTCATGGCATGTTGATAGGTGACTTTGATAGACCATTGCTTAGGAAATCCTTTGGTGGTGTATGCTTAATCTCTAGCTCCATGTGCTTCATCATTTTGTCAAGAACTTGATAGTCTTTCATTTAAGTAAATGTGTATAAGCTACACCTTAGTTAGGTAGTCTAAGCATGTTTACCCTTTTGATAGATTATACTTGTTTGAGACTTAATGTACTTCTTGATCAATTACATGGCAACCATGTGTTGTTATGTAATTCTTGACCATTATATGTTATTTTTCCCCTTAATTAGTTCTAATCTAGCATGTGTATAGGGATGGAGACGGATTCATCTCCCTAGTCTTCTCTACTTGCATTTCACCTCTTTACATTCCTTGCAATCTGCTAGTTTATGCATCTTTACATTTCTAGTTTAGTGACAAACAAACAAACCCTTATTACCCCTTATCATTCTAAGAATGATTCTAGACATTTAGGTTGCCTTAGACTAGCGCAGTCCCAGTGGTTCGACTTACCCGACCAATAGCCCTATTTTACAATGATTCGTGCTATTGCGAAGGTTGATGTATGATTGACCAACCGATCAATGAACGACCACAACATAAACCCTAATATGTAACTACATCCCAAAACAGGATCATAACTATCGCACTCAAATAAAAGTTGTCACATCCTATAATTCATGCTTTCATAGAAAATGAACACTTAATCATTAAGTATGTAGTCAATCAAACTTGTTTTCATCAACAGTAAACAATTAACAATTAACCACGTAGCAAGTCAAGCATGTTTTAAACAAATTTAATCATATAAGTAGTGGCACATATACATTTAATATTAAACAGTTGATCACGATTTTAGATTTGACAATTAATAAACTCAATGAGTAATAAACATATAGACATATACTAAACATAGTAACATCTAAGCATATAAGCATATAGCAATAAGTCATGCTTTTAAAACTAAACAAGCAATAGTCATATAAGTACGCAATACTGTTAAACCCAACTCTAACTCAACCTCAGTCAACCCTACCCGTCGTCCTTATGTTTTCAAACCTAAAGCACTGATACCAAATTTGTAACTACCCAAACCGGAGGTCCGGATTGCTAACCGGGTCCTTACCTGAACCTGAGGACATATTAGGGGTAAAATGATCTTTTTACAATATGAAAGGATAATCCATCCTTAAACGAGTTAAATGAGGTTTAAAACAACTATTCTAGTCGTTCCATGAAGCTCGGTGAGGCTCTACAGTCACCGGATATGAATTTCTAAAAACGCCTTTACCGATTCAAGGAAAATTCTGACACTATTCCACTAAAAATACCATAACTCTCAACATGATTGGAATTTGAGGATGAGGTTAGTCCCATTGGAAAGCTAACTCAAAATACTTAAAAATGGACTTAAGAATGACCCTATTTGGGTTCGGAATAAAAAAGTTATGACCATCTGAAATTAGGTGATCAAAGCTGATAAGCTGACAAGACAATTTGTGCTTACTAGAAGACTTGAACCAGTTCAAGAATCCTGAACCGGTTCAAGATGGGTAGTATGCCCACTCGAGAACCATTTGCAATGCTTGAACCGGTTCAATTGGGGCTGAATCGGTTCAAAATACCTAAAACCCTGAAAATGCCCCAGAAAGCTTAAAATCTTGAATTTTTACAAATTTGCACTACTTTGGTCCCTATGTAACCTTATTCAAAGCTCAAACCTACCCCAAATCTTTCATTTGACAGTATAAAAACATAATTAAACTCTCGTTCATTCACATGAATCGAATACAAGCCCAATACATCATTTAAAGACCGAATTACACAAGTATCATTTTATACAATTTTCAAAGAATTAAATACAAGAATGAGGCCTCCATGGCCAAAATCTACATAGCTTTAATATAAACAAAATGAAAGTGAATTCCTAACTACATCAATGTCTATAGATGCACATCATTTACCGGCCCGTCTCCGCATTCCTGAAAAATGTTAATAATGATAGGGTGAGCTCAACAGCTCAGTAGAGTAAGCCTAAAGTAGATTCCTAAAAATCCAGTGAGCCGCAACCAAAGGATGGGAATCAAAGAAAAAGGGTCATGAGATTAAGTCATTTCAACATTCATGAATTTCACAAATTCACAAGCCATACCATTAAATATGAAATGCAAATGTCCCCTTCTTTCTTTCCAACCCAACCTCACTAAAACCTTCCTAACCATCACCTTGGCTTACCACACAAACCACCATTTCATTTTCTAACCCTCTTTCCCACATCAACCTTCATCCTCTCAACTCACCCTCATACCAAGAATATGCATGTCATACAACCATTCATCAATATACAAGTCATGGTTTACATCATAGTTATATTAAAACATTGAAACACAAAAATTGATCACACAATTCATACTTTCACATTTCCTCATAAAAAAAAATAGCATGCTTAGCATAGATACAAAAAAACCATCATATTCTCAACTCAAATAATTAGATCAAAACTACCTCATGCTTAACATCACAACCAAAATTTCATAACTAAGCATGCTTCACAATATCAAGATATTCATGTAAGAAAATTCATAGAACTCACTAAAATCATAGGAATTTATACTTTAAACTTCCCCTACCTCAATGAAGCATGCCAAATAAGGCCTAAGGCCTCCCAAAATTCGAAATCCTTCCAAATACAAGCAAGAGTGATCTTGAATGAAAGCCTAAAAGATAATAAGCAACTTCCCTTCTTGATCTCAACTATATCTCACTCTAAACCCTAAAAAAAAATTGGGTTGAAGTATGTAATATATATATAAGCATACATAGAGATTGAGAGATTGAGAGAGAGAGACAAGTCTAGAGAGAAAAGAAGATTCTGGAAATGAGGGGGAAAGGGTGGCATGGCTTATCATCAATTTGGTTCCAAGGCCAAAAAAGGTGCCATGTGTCCAATTCTTGTGGACTTCTAAATTTGGGCAAAGTTACCTCCTTGCCCATGGTATTCTATTGTAATAACATTTCTACCCCCAAAATATCTACCTCTAATATAGATATAGATGTAAATATAAATGTGAGAAAAGTCCATTATGCCCCTTTCTTAAAATGACAAAATTGGGAGAAGTTCCTGAGTCCGGAAATCGTCTTGACCTCTAAAAATTCTAAAAATAAAACCGTTACTTCTAATTGACTTAAAATGATTAAAAATATGCTTCTAAAACCCTTGGCATGCAAAACGAGGCAAGAATTAAAATAATCCAGAAAAATCAAATAAATTCCAGAAAATAGAAAATAGAAAAAATCGGTAATATTACACATGTGGTAGCCCGAATTTTCTTTTAGGATTTTAATTTAATTTGTTTTATGATTTTTTTTAGTGATCTTATTTAAATTGGAGACTCAGTTTAGTGGAATTGGATTTGTTACATTTGTATATTATATATATATCTAATCATTGTCTGATGGTGAAGGATGGGAGCAGTAGGTCGGCAAAATGGGGGATGGAATTGAAATAGAAATGGTGATGGTATTTTCGTGGGGCCCATTAGAGGAGAAATGGGTTGATTTGTTTTTTTTTTGTTATTATATATTTATATATGTTTGATGGATGGAGATAAAAAGTAAAGATGTGGGCAGATTTCCTTGGGCTTTGGTTTTATTCACATGGGTGAATATTATTTATACATATTATATATGTATTGTGTGAGATGTCAGCCGAGATTGAAATAAAGGAAGAGTAGTGAAGTTGAAAGTGGCGGGTCCCATTTGATATTATCGGTTGATTTTAGTTTTGTATATATAATGTATATATATTGGTCTTATGAGACAAGAAACAAAGGGAGGTGCACCTGCCAGCTGAAAAAGAAGAGAAATGAGGTTTGGTGATGATGCGCGGGTCCAACTGGTGGTTTTCTTTGGCTTTGGCTTATTTGTTTTGGAGAGAGATTTGTGTGCAGAATGACAAGACAAAAAAGTGATAGGAATTGGGTACGGGGCTACCGAAAGAAGAGAGAGAACATTGTGATGATGGTAGTGTGTTCTGGCGGGAAACCTTTTTGCCAGAAGCCTTTGGGCTTCACGTGGGTTGTTTGACTTTTTGGAGAAAGAGATTGTCCTTTGGTTGATTTTGATTTTTGTTTTGATATTTTGATTGTGTGGTCTGCAAGCTGTTGTATGAAATGTGTCGGTGCATTTTTCTATATAATGGTATCTTGTCTTGTGAGTTTTGGAGGCAAATAGAAAGAAAAAATATAGAGAGTTTGAGGGCAGAGAAGAGATAAAAGTTTGAGAGAGAAAAAAAAAAAAAAAATTAGAGATGATAGAGTAAAGAAGAGTGCACACGCACAAGGCCGAGAGAGAAGGCAGAAAGAGAGTCGAGAGAGAGAGTGAGAGCTCAGAGAGAAAGCCAGAGCTTGAGGTTTGATGATCCAGTGGGAAATTAATCTTTTTCAGTGTAGGGTTCTCTATACCTTGAATGGTTTGGAGTGGTTTTGCTTCAATGGTTTTTATTAAATGTTTTAATTAAATGCATATATATTTTGTTTATATACTCACATGATTATGTATATTTTGTGAAGCTGTTTTGTTAAACCTGTATAAAATTCTTGTTATGGTTTTTCCAACTAGGACTTTTAGTCTCACCACCCTACAATTTTAAGTACCGAAGGTGAACGGGGATTGTTAGATTCGGACTTAGGCTGAAAAGTTGGCATTGCAGAATTTAATTTTTTTTATTTGGAGAATTTTTGTATATTTGAAGAAATTTGATTTTGTATAAAAGAGGGCATTTTTTTATGATTTTGGTATATTTTGATGTATTTAAAATTATATAAATTGAGGATATTTTTAAAATTTTCAAATCGTAACAACACAGCCCAATTTGCAGCCCTATCCACTAGGGTCCCACTCTCTAAAAAGACTAATATGTGACAGGGATTGAGTGGACTTTTGCGTGACAGGGATTGAGTGGACTTTTGTTCATGGCTGGGTATAAAAAATATGTTCTAAACAATTGAATCGCATCATTTTCGTATCCTAGAACAAATAAACTAGCATTTGTGGGCACGCATAGTTTGACCATGTTACTCTTTGTTTTTCATTATACTTGCATTTTTCCAAGCTTTGTCCTCGGATTCCGGCCACTTAGACTAGAATATAGATCCACCATTCGAGCATATCATTAGAAGGACTGATACCACCAGCCTCTGTAAATCTACCAAACTAACCATATTGTTGGCCATGGCTTCAACATGGACAGTGCTTGCATTGGTTGCACTAGCTGCTGCTTATATTCTGCAAGCAATAATTAGGAAGAACAAGAATGACGGGAGGAGGAGACTACCTCCAGGGCCAAGAGGCCTCCCAATCTTGGGACACCTTCATATGTTGGGGAAGTTCCCTCACCGGACTCTTCATCAGCTAGCCATAAAATACGGTCCCATCATGTACACACGCTTTGGCTTCATCCCCAACATCGTCGTCTCATCCCCACAAGCAGCCGAGCTGTTCCTCAAGACCCATGATCATGTTTTTGCTACTAGGCCTAGTATTCAGGCTGTTAAGTATGCGACTTATGACCAAAGGGACTTGATTTTTGCTGAGCACGGCCCTTATTGGCGTAGCATGCGCAAACTGTGCACCATGGAGTTGCTTAGCAGCGTCAAAATAAATTCATTCAAGTCTATGAGGAGGGAAGAGCTTGGATTTTTAGTCAAATCAATCCAACAGGCAGCTCAAGATGGTGGCTTTGTTGTTGATCTTAGCGCCAAAGTTTCATCCACGATTGCAGAAATGACTTGTCGGATGTTGTTTGGGAAGAAGTACGCGGATGAGGAGTTCGATGAGAGGGGGTTCAAAGCTATGATACAAGAGGGCATGCACTTGGCAGTCATTCCCAACATTGCAGATTACTTCCCTTATGTTGGGGCACTTGATCTTCAGGGACTGGATCGGCGCTTTAAGGCTCTTAGCAAGGTGTTTAATGAATTTTTCGAGAAGATCATCGATGAGCATACTCAATCTAGAGACCGAGGTCAAACCAAGGAGGACTTTGTTGATATCATGTTGGCCTACATGGGATCTGAAGAAGCTGATCAGTATGCTATGGACCGTTCCGGTGTCAAAGCCATTTTGTTGGTAATTATTTGATTGAACATTATTCATAATCTATCTAGCAATTCTGTCCATATGTTTTAACTAAGTATATACTTGGCGACTAAAGACGTTGTAACCTAGTAGTATCTCCTCTACCTCTCAAAGTGAGAGGTGAGGGTTCAAGTTTTCTTAGGGACAAATGGATGCGTGAGTTTATTGCCAAAAAATTACATACTTAACAAAGTTTTTGCAGGACATGCTTGTAGCCGGAATGGACTCTTCATCAACAACAATAGAGTGGGCACTCTCGGAACTCTTAAGGCATCCGCGAGTGATGAAAAAAGTCCAGAAAGAGTTGGAGGAAGTGGTGGGCATGGACAGGTTGGTGGAGGAGTCAGACCTGGAGAGTTTGGAGTACTTGGACATGGTGCTGAAGGAAGCCTTCAGGCTCCATCCAATTGCACCATTACTGATACCGCACGAATCTATGGAAGACTGCACAGTTGATGGCTTTCACATACCCAAAAAGTCTCGAATCACCATAAACGTATGGGCAATTGGGCGAGACCCAAATGCATGGACTGATCCTGAGGAGTTCTTCCCAGAGAGGTTTGGTGAAAGTAGTATAGATGTTAAGGGAAAACACTTCCAACTTCTCCCATTTGGCTCTGGTCGTAGAAGTTGCCCCGGGATGCAGTTGGGACTCACGGTGGTCCGGCTAGTGGTGGCACAATTGGTTCATTGCTTTGATTGGGAACTTCCAAATAACATGTTGCCTACTGAACTAGACATGACTGAAGTGTTTGGTCTTGTAACTGCTAGGGCCAACCATCTACTGGCTATTCCTACTTATCGCCTTCACAAATGACATAGAAGTCTGAATGTCCATCATGATGATGTCGTCATCCTTCACTCACATAAATGCAATCGGATTTATCTGGTTTTCAGACTCTGTATCATGATTCCCTAATATATTGGATTATTCACTTGTAAAGATATTGTCCAATTGCAGCTGCAAATTTATATATGACATTTATGTAGTTCAACTTTGATTATATTTACTCAAGCATTTTACTGCAAATCATCCAAATTTCAAAATTTCCCAAAAAATTTTATAGTCAAATGGAATTTGAAAATCCCGTGTTAATTTCAAGCCAAAATCCATCTCAATGAAAAGGTTATAAGTAATTTGACCCCCATTGATTTGGACATCCAAACTGAACCTATAGTAGTCCCAGTATGCACACAATGCATACTGGTCTGTGGCCAAAAGGCAGTAAATGTGCATAAAAAGCTCACTCTTTAACACTGACAGGCCAAAAAGAAGACTTGCATTATCATACATGGTAAGAAAAAAAGCCGTCAAAATTACAAATAAAGCTTGATAATGCAGGAAATCCTCTCAAAGAAGACCGGGCACATTATCCCACTGCTGAACATCAGAACCTCCCTCTCATCCCCTCGGGTGCCACTGTCTCAAATGTCCCTAAAGATACAGCAGCTCCAATTGGTTCAATCTGGTTTTCAGATACTGTATCACAACTCTTCATTCCATGGGTTTCTGCTAGTTTATAAGCAGATTTTGGAAAAGCCAACAATTCCAAACTGTAGGTTCCATAATCCATCTATTACCAAATGACTTTGTAAAAATTATTCAACCAAAATAGCAAAATCACTTAAAATTTAAAATAAATAAATAAAAGGAACATTATCCAATCTAATCCTGTAGTGACCTGGTTTATGCAGTATTTTACGAAGTAGTAGTTCTGAAACTCAAACTCACGCCAGTAGTGACACTAATACTCAAGACTGAAAGAATAACCTGCAACAAGCTCAATCCTGATACGAAAATATTTAACTGCTTCTTACACCTGCTCAAAGAAGATCAACTTGATTAAAGCATCCAAACAAAATTTGCCTTGTCAAACATTAGATTGAACAGAGCCTAATTGCTAACCCCTTCTAATATGTACAGAAAATATAATAATGGGAGAGTTTATGAGGAAGTTCAGTGTAAAAGACACTCCTACGTTTTAAGCCTCTTGTCACATTTGAAATTTAACAAAAAAAGAATTGGTTAATTAATACAGAAGTCATAAAATGATCAATAACCACTAGAATATAGATGTAATAATGATTAACAAAAAGAATGAATGTTATGCAATAACAAGGCCTAGACTCAAAACTATTAGTACCAAATCCATGTGAATTGATGAAGGTTCCAAGACCTCTGATCCAAACTGACAGAACTCGTGCCATTTTTAGAACTTTTAAGTATTTTGATTAGCATGTAAATGGGTGCACATTATGGCATTAGAGATTAGAACTTGCCATGATATCAATCAGATTCAGATAATAGCATTTCCAGCAGTCAAGTGTCAGAAAAGCCATCTCGTCATGAGAAATGGACACACCTACATATATATATAAAGCCATGTGAGAAAACTCGCACTTGAATGCTTTCAACTTCTAGTGGAGCAAAATACGTGAAATTTATATTAGGAATTTCAGAATATGGATTTCATTCAAAAAACGAAAAGATAGAATGAATAGCCGATATTTTAAATAGTTGAACATATTAATGTGCCAAAGAACTGAAAATTTGAAGACACAAAAAAAAGGTCAGTAACCAACATGTAAGAGATTGTACAGGTCATTTCAGATTTAAAAATTACCAGTCGATTGATGAAGTGCTGATATACATATTCCACCACCTAAAATCACCGCTGAGAAAATAGAACATATGACATGGTGACCAGTAGAACAAAAGTAAATTTATGTTATTGATGCATACCTGAACTGTCGATCTTTCTTCGACAGCATGCAGGCTAAATTTTTGAACTACAATAGTCAGAGTAGAAACAAGAAAACCAACAATTCCTCTTAAACATGTGGGACTATCAGAAGCACGTACCTAATGAATCTTCAAACGAGTAATGCTGGACATGGTTTGCTTGGATAAATCATTTGCAGAGCCTCCAGACATATTCAGCTGTCCATTTTCAATTTTGTCATCCTTTGCACTGCAACAAAGTCCCTCCCGTTGAAGGTTTCGAAGCCTCTCAATTTCTTCGAAAAGCTCTATACCTGCAATAAATTTGAGCCACTAAATAATAGGGGAGGAATGGATCAACTATCTAACTGGTTGCAATGTCAGCAAAATAAAGAGTTGAGAATACAGAGTAGTGCTAAGGTGTAAAGCTTACACCATATATATTATCATCATCATCATCCTTTGTCATCAAAGTCTTAATCCCATTTCAATGGGGTCGGTCACATGAATTCTCTTCTTGCATTCTTTCCTATTAGAAGCCGTCTCTTCTATAATATTTAACTTTTTAAAATCAAATTTAATAACTTTATCCCATGTTAATTTAGGTCGTCTTCTTTGTTTCTTATCCTGTGTACAATATAGTCTTTATCTTCTTATTGAGTGCATATTTATAGATATCTATGTATGCCCATACCACCTGTGTCTACTTCTCATATTTTATCACTAACAGGTGCCACTCCTAAATTCTTCCTCACACTTTTGGTGTGTAAATTTAACATCTTTGTGTCAGTTACATGAATTCATTTTAAGAATCACCGAAAATCTCCATAGCCACCCTGTCCCCCCCCATTGTGTGCAAAGCACACCAAAATTTACATGCAGCACCCAAAGCACCAGAGATTCTGTCTCCAATATTCACCAAAAGGTCAAATTTCATCAACTTATAAAAACGCAAATATATATATACACACAATCACAACACTCATAGAATCAATTTAAATCTTCATATAACCACATAAGCAAGCACCAATATTCAACAAGAATAAAATATTCTAAGGTCTGCAGTTCTCTAAACTTTCAAAAGCTTGACCTACAGAATCTCTTTTTAAACAAATTGTATCGATGACACAGCACCCAGAGATCTCTCAATGACTAGCCAATAAAATTATCCCATTTAGGTTCAAACCACCTATTCTATCTTGAATGACTCTATTTTTTGGTGTTTTCAACTTAAATTGAAAACAATTTCCAACCTGATCATGAGAGAGAGCGCCTAAAGTTAGAATGGTAAGAGATTGAAAAAGAAGAGTTATACCTTGAGACATAGACAGTAGTACTGTTGTCGTGGTCGCTGATGATTGGAACTGGAATAGTCACAGCAGCTTGAACAAGGGAGAAGAAGGTAGAGCTTTGAGTGTCTGTTGGCCAAAATGTCTGAGATATGTCAAAATGAAATATATTTTTAAATTCTGGCACATCTGTGAACTGAGACATATGTCAAAGAGTGTCAGTGAGGTGTCGGTTCCAGGCATGTGTCCAACATGGACATGACACCAACATAGAAGTGTTTGTGCTTCTTAGCATTAGGTTCCCTCCTTGTTGGACCATGATCATTGAATTTTAGTCTCCTGATTTCGAGGATGGAAGTGCCTCGAAGGGAAAGCATTCTTCCTGGTAAAGCAACATTAACACCTTCAATGATTTGTATAACAACCATAGGTGTTCATATTTAACAGGGAAAAAAAAAACATAGGAGTTCATGTAATTACATTAAAATATACAAGCAAAATCTCATCCATCTTTGATTTTTTACCTAGGAGATGTCCAATCACTAGGCAAACACCTACTCTTTCCAGAAAAAATTATGCTAGTTGATGCTCTACATAACCATGAAACAGATATTACTACTACGATCTATGATGGCCAAGCTGGCACCACAACTAAAAGCCTTTGGTACTCGGTATTATTCATGAAATGATTAATCGTCTCTTACTCTTCTGTTTCTCTTCCACTAAAAGCCCTTGGTACTCGGTAAATTGCTCATGCTTTGTAGACCTGCAACAGAAGTGATGTTTGTTTAACAATTCCAAATCTGAATCAGTTAGTTCCCTCTGCAAAATGCTTGCCTGATTGAAGCCATTTCATTTGTCAGATCATTGACTTGTGCATGTAACCTCTCATTTCTCAAGTGTTCTATTAATTCATCTCAGCTGCAACAACATATAGACAGTATAACACAATATAACATGCATTAGACTTTTTATATCTTACAACGAAAAAATGACTAAATTTCATACAAGGATTTCAAGTTACTTGCCAGGGTAATCACACCACTTCCAGTTTCCTAGAACCAATCTAGTTAAACACAAAGCTAACATTGGTAACCTTACTGGTTTCATTCGATATTTCATTTATTTTTAGCCTCAGTTTTGTCTTATGAGACCTTATTGTGGCCATTCTAATGCTTAAAAAATTATCAACAATTATATTAATAACTGGAGAATGGATGAACCACCACCATAAGCTTTAATCCACAATTTGTGGATGCAGCACAAGTTTCACATTCTAACACAGAAGCAAGGTGCCGGCATTACAACTCCTCAAAAATTTATCAATGAGAAAGAACTCTGTTTGTGTGTTAGTAATTTTACTATATTGAATATCTACAATTACTGTCAATGTTAGTTAAACATAAACCTAACATTGGTAACTGTACGGTACATGGAAGTACCATGCAGAACAGAAGATTGAATAAAAATAGTACTTGCAGGTTTCCCAACAGGAAGATATAGCTCACTTGATCTTCTGGACAGCGGAAGCAAGCAAAACTAGTTCTCTTTCAGGAAATGCCTGAACAGCAGCAGGACAAAGATGGATAGAGGTTTCACATGTCAACAAGTTTTTGACATCAAAATTTTATAGGGACATGTGTCCTATGTATCATGACCGCAGATGCATGCCTCTGAATACATGGGTTGAAGCCCTAAACTGTAAATAAATATGCCATGTTTTGAAAACATGTGTGAACTAGTAAAGAATTTCCATGAAATCTTGAAAAAGATTGATTGCTCTTATGAGGAAGCCAATGATTAAAAGAGAAAGCAAGAGAGGCAGTTTGAGATTAAAAATGGCTTTTAAAGGATTGTGATGTGAAGGCCATCAATCAGAGAGCTAAGGAAGCATTAGTTAACAATCTACTCTGTCAAACAAAACAAGAAGAGAGAGTTAGTGGACTAAAAAAGGGACCTTTAAAGGCCAAGAAATCAGAGTTATTGTTATTATTTGTTTATATTGGCAAGAAATTCACACAACCACTTTGCTCCTATAAGGACTTGAACTCTCACCTTTTACATTGTAAAATGAGAAAGTACCACTAGGCTACAACCATTGGTAAGAAAACAAACTTATATGAACTAATAATGATTCTATAGTAATCTAAAGAATAGGTGTCTGTGACTATAAACTCGCTGTTGATGCATATAAAAAATTTCACATAAACCACAATATCGACATTTTAGATATAATATATCAACCAATGTAGAGAATACTTGTCAAGCTCCTTTAAATATGACTACAATAAAAACATAAGAGTTGGCTGATCAACTTTAAGCAAGATGCCTTTTTAAGGTCAAGACAACTAAACCATGAAACAAGCTCTGAGATACCTTTTTAAAGTCAAAACACTTTAAATTGTCATCAAACAAACGGTATGAGACTGCAAAGCACAGAGTTTCTTCAAGATAACATGTCACCATGCTTTTATTGCATCAAGTGGACAAATAGAACAGCCAAGTACATGACAAAATCAAATGAGGGAAAGACTAGAGATCATTTATATAGCTTTGCATATAGGGCCTCCATCTACGTCAAAGATTAGCAAAACCCACAAATTTAGAATGGAATACATAATGTAATCATATGAATTGATACCGTAAGCCATATACATGTCTATATATGCATGGTTGTGACTTGCGACATACTGAAAGCAAATGAGTCATACAAAACCCTAATTTTTACATGCAACTGAACTGTAACAAGAAAAACACCAATCATATATAATAAAGAAAATTAAAAATAAAAATAAAACAGAGAACAAAAAGGTTAAGGAACCCTAGATATATCTGTACCTGACCTCCAAATTTACACCCCCAAAAAAAAATATTACTTATATACGAACAAGTTTGAACCTTGAAATGCTAAAATTATTATGAGAAATGTGAAGTAATAATACCTACCTGTGACTGTGAGGGCCAATAAAAGGTGGGAAATGGATTATTAAGACTAATTTCCATTCCAGCTCCAAGTGATTCGAGTTTCAAGTGTTTCCTTTTTCTTTTCGTTTTTTTTTTAGCCATTGAAATTAAATAGAATAAAATGAAAACAAGCAATAGTAGAAAATAAAAGCCTGCAATTGATACAATTAGAATCACTTTCCATATAGAAAGTCCCTGATAGTTCTATCTCCACAGGAGACACAACCAAAAATAATGGGGCACAAACAAATCTCCCTAGTCAGTCTCACAGCACAAACATATAGGGCATTGAATATTGTGGTTGCCCTCTCCATACCACAACAGTCCACACAAGTTAACTTATAATTAACAACAAACAGGGCATTGAACCAACTCATATTCTCACGGCCCTCACAAGACACACACGCACACTCGCACAGTCCACAAAAGAAGTGAACAGAGAATCAGCAACATATGGGGCATTGAATCAACCCATTCTCATTGCACTCACCACACCTCACTGTGTTCTTCCCATCCTCATCCAAAACCTTACAGCTCCCACTGCAGTCCATGCACATCACAAACCGGACACCTGCACATCCTTCGCAGCCTCTGGTGAGTGCCCTCGGAATGCCCCGGAACAGAATTCCCAATTTGCCCTCCTCCTCCAACCTCACCACTTCATCAGCTCCACCTATCAGCCTTCCCTTCACAAACACAAGGGGCACTTTCACCTCTTTTGTCCCCATTAGTCCCCTCAGTTCCTCCCTAAACCCCGAGTCCATCGACACATCCCGCTCAAACACTTGAATGTAGTGTGATCCGATGATCGATCGGGCACTGTTGCATTCCTCAAAGGTTTTCCTAATCCCCCGCAATGTGGTGGTGTAGATCACCACCGCATTTTCACCTCCAGGCGGGCATTTTTTCTCAAAAGACGAGAGCATGGACTCGGAACAATCTCGGGAAATTCTGGATTTTTGGGTCATTGGTGTGGTTGAAACCATTTTCTTGATCTGTTCCTCCCCTTCAGACATTTCTTTCTCGAGAGATGCAACAAGCTCTGGATCAAACAGGGGACCCGAAGTACTACTCCGCGGCGAATTAGTATCAATAGCAGACCCTTTCACCGATATCTTCAAGTTCAGAATCCTTTTTGGGCTGTAGTGGCCAAAGACTCGTCCCTTGTTCTCTTTCCCTCCAAATTTCTTCGTCTTCTTCCTCGGTGAACCACCCATCTGGTTCAAGAACTTTAATGGGCTTCTTCTGGTGTCAATATCTGCAAACCCATGAAGAAAAAGTCTCGATTTGGGGCTTTTCTTCACCTGAACAGGAATCGGAATCAGGTCTAGTCCCTCTTCGAGACCTTCCATGAGCTCCCAGGCATTGATGATGACCTGAGCTTCTTCCCCGCGAACGGACGACGATCTCTTCGTCTCCATCACACACTCTTTGCCGGATTGTGATTGTTCTGGTTTGTCAAGTTGGAGGACTCCATAAGTGCTTGAAGTGAGAGAAACCACATGGCTTGTAGTGTAGTCTCCATTGCCGAATCTAATCTCTTGCTTGAGATCTTTCCTGTAGTGTTTGGATGATACACAGCCCATTGAAGAGTTCCTTCTCGGCTTGTCCCTGCCGTTGTCGTTTTATTAGATTTGAAGAAAGGAAAGTGCATACCATCCAGAGTGGGGAAGGGAGTTAATCTTTTTCGAATTCATAACCGTTACAACGGTCGGAAATTTCGAATACACTTATTAGTGAAAGTAATTTTGTAAGACCCGTGTGTACCGTTATTACTTGTCCATGACCTGTGTTAGAAAGTTGAATTCATTATAGTTTTTTTTTTTTTTAAATGTATATATATACAGATATAAACTTTTTCTAAATTTAATTATTATTCATTTTTAAAGCACATCTGAGGTATATATGCAGGGACGGACTTAATTTTTTTTTTTTATAGTATTAAATTATTAACAATAGTAAATTTTCTTGTTTTAAATTACATACCCATTAAATTTTCATATTCCCCCCTTTCCCTCCCCCCAAATTAAAATAATAATAATAATAATAAATATCCTACTATTGCCCCCTCCCCCAACCCACCCGCCCAATTACTCAATTTCCTCATGATTTATGACGTAGTAGTTTAAAATTCATTTCATTGTGTGTTTCGATCACAACTTTCAAAATGAGTCGTACATGAATTTTCAGTTGGAATCAAAATTTGATAAGAATTATGATACTAAAATATGAATCTTGACTTGAATTTTACATGTACTTCTTGGAAAATAGACAAACAATTTTTTTTTATTATTATTTTTTTTTTTTTATGAGGACTTGAATCCTCACCTTCTACTTTAGGATTCAACAGTGATTAAAAAACCTTCCCTCAATAAACCACTCCTTTTCTTATTAGTTGAGAACACAAATAAAAAGTTATTAAATGGTGAAGAAATGAGAGATTCTATCATTATGTCATTAAATTATAAAAGAAGAAATTGTTGGGATGATAAAGAAAAAGTAATTAAAAAAAAAAAAAAGATGAGCCCTTTCATGTAATGTAATCCATTCAAAATTGACTCAATTTGTTTAATAAACAAGTTGAGGTCCAACAACATATTAGGCTCGGGATCAGATGATCATGAACAAGTTTGTTAAGACTCGTAACTTTTACTTGGGAAAAAAAATTAAAAAAATAGAAAAAAAAATGGTAAATTTATTCAATTCAAATTTCAGGGTTGGTATTCCATGCAACGGAACATAGCATTATTAGAATTTAAGTACATAAAACAAGTGTTTAACACTAATAATATTAGTAAAGGCATTAATTTTTCACATCATGCATCAAAATGCTGAAAGAATGCAATCAGAAAATTCTGGTTTGCGGAACTGGAGTGCAGATCTACACACAACTACAAATTTGCAGATTCAGTAGAAAACCCTCAATTGTCATTCCTATGACAGCATCAACAAGAAAAAAAAAGAAACTGAAAATTGAACTTTCACTCATAGCAAAAAGTACAGAACGTTCTTAAAGAAGAAATTTACTTTTGGACATTAAGAAAGAGAAATCAAATTTTTATTTTAATATGAGCATAGATGTGAAAATAAGTTGCAATTAAAGAAAATAGAAACCTACTTAATGTTCAAAGTAATCAATCAAAATCAGATAGGTGAAAATAAACCATAAATTCCATTCAAGATGACCAAAGTCCTCTAGTCTCTTTAAAGGATGACCCTGCTTAAGATTTTAGAACATGGTTAGATAAAATGCAGGAGTAAACTTTCCCAGATACAGTTCCAGGTTCCTGAAAATCTCAGATATCAGTCCGTGCATCAGCGAAGTTCAACAACTTAAGAATACCTAATTGGAAATAAACCATAAATTTCATTCAAGATGACCAAATTCAACAGCTAAAGAGAACCATATTCACATTCAACAATCATCTGACCAAATTCACATTCAACAATCTTCTTGCTTCAGTTGAAATTCAACCGGCTCGAACTCCCATGCAAAAGGACAGGAAGGCAGAGAGTCCCAATTTGTTGATGGGTATCTGCAGGGGCTATCAATGTCAGTCTGGACAAACAGAAACAAAGGAGAGGAAGGCGGAGAGTCCTTTGCTAGTTTAGACTCGGGAAATTCAACAGATGATCCAGAATCTGCATAGGGGAAAGTAAGCTTTAATCCCACGTCAAATCTTCAAGTATTACTACTACTTTGCAGCCAATATATGAAACTATAGCAGTACAGGTGACATCAAGATTTTAAATTTTGGAGAGCCCTTTAGTCCAGATGATATATATTGCAGTATTTCAAGGTTTAGGATGGTTGACCAATTTTGACCTTCAATGGGAACCTTTTTTTTCATTTAACTTCATATAAGCAAATTAGAAACAAGCTACCAAGATATATGTAGATTGGAGGACATTAGAATAAATGACATCAAGATTTAAAATTTTTACAACAATTTTAATTCGAGGGACTCTGTGTTTAATAATTCTGACAAATCTCTATAAAAGCAACATGCATCAGCTCATGGTCAGTTTAGGCATTTCACTTTCTCAAGATTAATGTTTATTGGATGTCATCCACTCCCTCAAATCTCAAGCCAAAAGTGTAGGTTCAAGAACGAAGGGTGCAGAATATGGTATGGACAGAACAATATGTGCTTCTATTCATATATCTTTGTAAATTGATATTTATATGTACTTTAAGTATAAAAGTTAGAATATATATATGCATTGAAGCATAAATCTAAAATCATTCTAGTTTGTTTCTAACATTTTTTTACAAAAAACTTAGGCAAACAAAAACTTTTATGAGTCTATCGAATATTGTATTTCTAGCTTATAATATTAAGAGTTGTGTTGCACAGATATAAACACGGACTTTGAAATATCTTATTAGGCAAATATATTCTTGCTATATCTCAATTCTTCTACAAATAAAGTATGATATTTGAACCCTGTTTATAGGGTTTCTTACAATTTTAATATGATGTTATACAAGATATGTTATATTTTAATATTCAAGATGTGTCAAACATGTTCAAAAAAAATTCTATTTTATGAATACTTTAGGAAATATGAGATATGTATCTGCAATATCCGAGAAGTATCAATATATAATAGAGACACGTGCATACAGCTCCCGAGTAGATATGCGCTTCCTAGCATAGAAAGTATGTATGATTGTATTCCATGTGCCAGAATAGGGAACCATGCAAAGTAAATTTCGATGCCAAGAATAACTTTGAAATTTCAATTAAAAAAGAAACTGATCTCCAACATTAAGTATAGAAGCATAAGTGCATGATAACCATGTTCTATAGAAAAGAATCGACACCATAAAGCTGAGGAGAATGAATAAGTTACCATGTCCTGGAAAAACCATGTCCAAGAAACAAGAAGGACTTATTGTTGTTAGTCGCGCCTCAATGCACTTCTTGTGATCATGCAGAAACATTTCCTCAGCAAAATCACAGGGCACATCTTTAGGTAAGTTTTTTTTCCTTGATGATGTTTCAGGATGAAGTGATGACTTGTTCGTAATGTCATTAAGAGCCTTACGATTTCCAAAGCCCGTTCCAGCTTTGTTAAGAGCCGGCTTAGAACTCTTACTTTTTCCATTAGTCACAGCCTCTACAGAACGATAAAATCAAAATATTAGGAAGATATTGAAGTCAAAATACTGGGAAAAGATTCTAAAAGCCAGGATGAAGTGATGACTTTTTCGTAATGTCATTAAGAGCCTTACGATTTCCAAAGCCCATTCCACCTTCGTTAAGAGCCGGCTTAGAAATCTTACTTTTTCCATTTGTCACAGCCTCTACAGAACGATAAAATCAAATTATTAGGAAGATATTGAAGTCAAAATACAGTTTGGGAGAAGATTCTAAAAAACAGGATGAAGTGACGACTTTTTCGTAATGTCATTAAGAGCCTTACGATTTCCAAAGCCCATTCCACCTTTGTTAAGAGCCAGCTTAGAAATCGTACTTTTTCCATTAGTCACAGCCTCTACAGAACAATAAAATCAAATTATTAGGAAGATACTGAAGTCAAAATACAATTTGGGAAAAGATTCTAAAAGCCAGTTAATAGAGCTCAAAATGAGGAGGATAAATGTGAAGAACAATTTAAATTAGTTGATTTTTCACAGATGAGCACATGGCATCCCTTGAAAGGGCTTTCAGAATCATTTTTTAGTTGTTCATTAGTTCATCACTACTCTCTGGTAAGGCTATATCTACCAATCTTGTTACCCAGTGCTAACTAATATATAATGATACAACGAAAAGATGGAATACTTTGGTGGTGGATGTCCAAGTTTTCATCCTGAATAATCAGCCGCCTTTGACTTTGAGTGAGGTGAGTTGCCATGTTTCTCTCTTGCTGATGTACAAACTCGAATACTAGGCTCTGCAGCACAATACATTTGTGAGAAAAGAAATAAAGGGTACAAGAATAAGCCTAAGGTCAAGTCTTAAATAAGATAAACTCATTGTATCTAAAACAGTGCAAAAGAAACAAAGTAGTATACAAAGTAAAAGAAACCACTTCAGAAAATAAAATATCTAAGCAAGGGATTCAAAGATTTTTGTTCTCCCAAATTAACTTCAAACATACATACCATCAGATGAGATGTTGAAACTGTTTTGTTCTTTCCAGGTTCACCAGAGAACAATTTTAATTAATTCAAGAATACTAGTACAGCAGAGCAGACTAATTTTGTTTTCTTAATTCTGATAAAAACTGACTTTCTTTCCTTGAAAAGAAAGACAATGCTGTGTTGATCCCTAGAAACAAGACTAAGCCCTAGAAACAAGTAGCTGAACCCTAAAAACAAGATTAAGCCCAAGAAACAAGTAGCTGAACCCTAAAAACAAGATTTGAATCTTCATTACAAGGTTATATCATATGGATGCAGTCCATATGTTTTTTCAAAACAAAATGTCATTTTTTTACCGCAATCTATCAACCCATCCTAAATTGCAATTGCAAAAATAAATAAATAATAAAATAAAAATAAAAATTCGGTAAGTTAAGAAAACATCAGTGAAGTCCATGCTCTGTTCAGTCAGAAATAAAGACCCAGAATCTTGCTCAGATGAGGAACGTTTTTCTCCTGAATTTTCTTTTTCTTCTTTTATTTTCTTGGTCACTTTTTCCTTAGTTTATGTCTGTAGTTTCTGTTTGTTCTGACATAAATAAAAATAAAAAATCACTGAAGTTAATTGAAGAGATATTGTAAAATTTCTCCCTAGAAATCATAGTTCATTCATGATTACATAAATTGAAGGCATGTCTGGACCAAATCCCTCTCCAAAACACAAAAAACCCTAAACCCTAATAAAGAAGAAATTCCAAAAATTAACGAAAAAGTCTGTATACCAACCTTGTAACGAAGATTCGTTTCACTCGATGGAAGTTTCTTTAACTTGAAATTGCTTCGAAGACAATCCCAAAATCACCTTTGAATTGCCCTATACGAAGGAATAACCACTGTTCAAGATCACGAAAACTGGCAAAGAGAACTTTTAGGGTTCGCTGGTGATGTTGACAAACAGAAAGGTGACTTTGGACGAACGAGAGAGAGAGAGAGAGAGATGATTTAGGTCTTTGAATCGCGTCTCTTTCAGGAAATATGAACTAGCCGTTACGCAACGGTCAATTTAAACTCGGTTTCTGAGTTGTCTAGAGTTGGGCCTGGGCTTATGTCTTTTGTTTGGGCCTGTTTATTTCCCCCCCTTTGTTGTGGCTTCGGCTTGTGACCTAGCCATTGGGCTTGAACAATTTTCACCTTATAGTATATATATGCAAATTAAATTACGAAAATTATCACCAAATCCTACTTTTTTCAAATAAGCCCTATAATATTTTCTTTAGAATCAATAAGTCTTACTTTTGATATTTTTAAAAATTTAAGCCTGAACACTAAATCTTCTATTTATATATACCTTCACTAAATTATATATATGTGATGACCTGAATTTTTCTTACGATTTTAATTTATAATTTTATTTTTAAGTTTGTCTTTGGGGAGGTGTAGGTGTTGTCATTTATATATTATATATATATTTATTTATATCATTTGATGGAATGAAAGGTGGCAGCAAGGCAAAACGTAATGAGGAAGGAAAAGGAAAGATATTTAAAGGCTTGAATTGATTTTGTTACATTATATATATATATATATATATATATATATATATTGTATTTTGTATCAGATGGTGATGGAAGCAAATGGGCTGTCAGCCGAAATGAAGGAAATAAGAAATATTAATGGTGATGGTATTTGTGGGGGCTACTAAAGGATACTGGATGGGATTTGATTTTTGCTCCAATGTTGCTTAATTCTTCTCTTTGAATGAGTTTTAGGCAAATTAGTACGTATATTGTTCATGCTATTATATAATTAATTATTAATAAATTTTTTTTTCCACCAGCAAAAAATATACTCATTGTTTTTTTGTCCACAATCGAATATTCAAACTCGAACCACTTTCCTCCTCTTTGAGGATGGAAAGGTTATACAATTGGACTAGATATCCATTATATTTGAGTCCAAGATCTTACACTCTATGCTATGCAAACAACCAGCTCTTCCAAAAAAAAATATTTTTGATCACAGAGATTTTATAATCTTGATAAGAATTTGAAATATTTCACAGAGAACTGATAGTTTGGTAATTAATTAACAACTCTTGTTATCTTTTTTCTTCAGCTATTTCTAACGTATAAAATTAGGAATTTGGACCAATATGGACCTGGTTTCGACCTGAAAATTGAATGTGTTATGGGTCAACTTTGTTAATTGTATATCTATCTTTTTGTTTTTTTTATTTTTTATTTTTTTACAAGATAAGAAGCGTTAGAAGTTAGATAGATTAATAGACGTAGAGAGTTGAAGTCTGACAGAGCAAACTAATGGATATGGAGATTCGTCGATTCGTCGATTCCAAATTGATTATAGAGCTTGGAAGGCTCCATGTAGCTGCAAATATCTCTCGAATTTCTGCAATTGTCAAAATTCCACTGTTGAACAAACTCAGTTTGTGCTTGTTTTCCGGTGAAGCTACCATTATTTCTTTCTTTCCAAAAGAAAATACACCACAGCTATTGAAACAAAGCTCGTAATTTTACAGCTGCTTTTTTGTTTGGAGAAAAGGAAAGAAAAAAATAATATATTTTTCTATTTTTTAAAATAGAAAAATAATATATTGTAATATCTCCTGTTTCTCTTTCTTCATTTATTCCTTATTAAATCTAACCTAAAATAAATAAATAAGTGACTCATGATTATGATTTTTGCAAAAAAAAAAAAAAGGAAAAATTATATTTTGGTGACCAAAAGTAAACATAATTGCTCTATAGTGACCTTAAAGTCAAGAAAAGGTAAATAGTGACCAATATTGAAACTTAATTGATATTAAGTGACCATTTAATGGTTTATTACCTAAATAACCTTCTTATAATATATTATTATGCAAGTGGACAAATTTACCCTCTACATTAACCTAAATAAACGCTTACGACTAACAAAAAGACGACAGATTATTAGGGTGAGTCTCTAAAGAGAAGACCAAGATGGGAGAGAATTGAGGACGGATGTTTTACATTATTTTCTTCAAGGTTCTAAGAGGCAGGATGAAAAAGTTGTAAATTTTCTTCTTATTCATTATTTTCAAGGTATAGTTATTATACTTTACAAGTTGATTTGTCAGTTTTTAGGAATTTTTTAATACTACTTAGTAATAGTTTAAGAAATAATGACCATTGTTGATTAATTTCATAATTTTGCCATTGTTAATGAGTGTTTCAAAAGTATGCATATTAATGATTTGCAAATATGAAGTTGTCATATGAGTTGTTATTGGGATTGCTTGGGTTTTGGTACGTTTCCTATCACGCAATTACACTTCTGTTTTTGAAAGTGAATTAAATTTCTCAAAATTAGATTACTTTGTAATGCACTCCATTTGTTTGTTAAAATGCTTGAAAAACTATTTCTTTCAAAAACTTTTTTTGTCATACATTTTTTTTTTTTGGATTGAATAGAAGTGAGAGAACATATTAAGAATTGTGTTTGGCTCTTACCCACCTAGAGAATGCGACTAAATTGTATGTGAAATATGAATACAACATTTGCTTTTCTAGGAAAATAAGCAAGATGCTAGGTAGAGGTTCAAAATCTATGGCTGGTCATGATTTCTTTCTAAATAGACAATTACATCATTGATTGGAATAATGTGCCATGTTAATTTAGTCGTTGCTAGAGAATGGGGCTGCCCAAGTGACTGGTGTAACTTTGAGTCCTACTGACAACCACAACTTGTTTAGGGGCTGCATTGTGCTCACGAGCCTTAAACTTGTTAAGCTCGACCTGGTGGATCTTCTCTTCCTTTGTGTGGCCATATCTTTCTGTACTGAGTCGTGTGCAATCATTTTTCTACCTATCAATCAGGTGTATATATACATATATATATATGGACAAATTCATGTTACACGTACATGTGCCATAAAAACTTTTAAGCCTATAAATTGGGTGTGCCGTCAGCATACATTGATTATAAATAAGTAACATTTGAATTGATCCAATACTCTGGTTATATTGCCGAAGCATACAATAAGATGCTTGAGAGAAGGCACTAAAACAAGGGCTCATGGCTCTAAACCTTTTGCGCTTTCAAATGACAAGAATGAGCAATCCACAACCCTAGTTTAACTAAATAGCCTTTCTATAGCCATAACCACATCCTGTAAGTAGGCATGACCTTAGAATCATTCTGAAAAAATGATATATTAAAAAAACAAAGTGAGAAGGGACATGCCTCTATAAATATTCTATAAAGAGCATTTGGGGATGAAATTTTTTTTCTTTTTTCTTGATTTGCAACTGTAAATGTTATGAGCATTCATGACAGAGAGCCTTGAAAAATAGATAAAGGGTGGAAAAGAGATAATGTTGATAAAGAAATCTTAATTTTTTAAATTGGTAAATTGCAAACTAAAAAGGAAAATAGAAAACGTTCGATTTGAGAGGATTAGAGAGAGAGAGAGAGAGTAAGAGGATGAATTTAATGACTTATTATTTTTGTTAATCAATTTAAGTAAGTGTTTATTTAGGTTAATATAGAGGGTAAATTTGTCCACTTGCATAATAATATATTATTAGAAGGTTATTTAGGTGATAAATCATCAAATGGTCACTTAATATCAATTAAGTTTCAACATTGATCACTATTCACCTTTTCTTAACTTTAAGATCACTATAGAGCAATTATATTTAATTTTGGTCACCAAAATATAATTTTCCCAAAAAAAAATATGAAAAGTTACTCTTTTGTGATTTGAATAGCACAAAACTTACCATAAAAGAAAAGGTATTATTGTAATTTTTCTCTAAATTTGGAAATATTCTTATTTCCTTTATTTTCCAGTAGTGTATTTCAAATAGACATTTTTTACGGTTTGTGTTTCCGTCCCATGCTATTAGATTTTCTTTAGAACTTGGAATGGTAAGTGAAGAAGCTATTCAGTTCCATTATAAATAAGCTCTTATGAGTCCTTAAATTGCACCTATTCCAATGAGAGGAGTTGGTGTGTTTCACAAATTGTTTGCATGGCTTCAAGGCTCAATTGGGAGAAAAGCGTCCAAGTGGTAATGTTTGTTAGATTTTATTATTATTATTATATATAATCTTATTGATATGCCTCCACTGAAATTTAAATCCCTGACCTCTCTTTGAGAAGTAGGGATCTGATACTGTTAGATCATTAACCTGTTAATAAAAGAAAGTTTAGAGTTAAGTTTGTTGTTATATATATTTATGTTTAATTCGTGTACCATGATGTTCCAAACAGAACCTAGAACCTAAACCAGATTTTTGTTATGCATTGAACTATCTAATATGGTTTGTAACTTAAAAAATCTGTTGTGCTTATTGTTTAGCAAACGATTGATTCGGCAAGTTCAGGATCATCTTTTGATCCAGAAGACCAAGAGACATTCCGTGATAACACATTCGCGTTCCGACATTGCTAGACTCCTCAACGATGGTATGATTGACATTGCATTGAATAGGGTAAGATCTATGAGCTACACTACACAAAATATTTTGTATATACATATTACCTGCCCATTTTTTATTTCATTATATATATATATATGAGTAATGCTAAGCATAGTGGTTTTAGTCGTCGTTTTTATTGATTGTAGATTAATGGTAGTGTCCCATGCTTTTATGAAACATTGGAAACTTAACATTTGTAGACAAAGTTACCCTTCTTATTTTGATTTTGTCTATAAACCTTGCACATATATATATATATAGTCGATGTATTTATATATATACTTCATTTTTTTTTTCATTATATATACTTCATATGAATTTACTTAAATCTTATTTATTTTTCATTATATATACTTCATATGAATTCACGTAAATTTTACTTTGGATGGATTCTTTATATATATATATATATATACACACACACACATATAGGTTTGAGCTTTCCATTGTGGTTAAAATTCAGAAACCTTATTCACCGTCCTTGTACATCTCGTAAGTTTTTTTAGCCCAATGCATGGCCTGGAGCATGTGCTCTCTGCCCGTCAACTTCCATATATATATATATATATAAGTGTGTGTGTGTGTGTGGGGGGGGGGGGGGGGGAGACAACAAAAAAAAAGATATATATATCCCTTTTTTATATATATATGATTATAGTATGCACCCCCTAAAATTTTCGATTATTAAAATTCTCTCTTACCTTTTTTTTTTTCTTATATATATATATATGGGAAGACAACAAAAAAAGGAATATATATATATATATATATCCCTTATATATATATATATATATATATATATATATATATGAAAAAAATTATAGTATCCACCCCCTAAAATTTTCAATTATTAAAATTCTCTCTTACCTTTTTTTGTCTTTTCCTCTTCAAATACTTTTAATTTTTTTTTTTAAAATTTACATTCCCTTTCTTCAATCAAATCCTTTTTTTTTTTCCTCCAAATTCTCTCATTTTTATTTTATTTGATTATTATTATTTTTTAATAAAATACACCTCGCCCCTTCGAGATAAAATCGTGACCCATTTGTCCTGGGACTCATAAGTTATAAAATTGTGTATGATACAGTTTGATGAGCCATACTCATACATTTATTTGTCATAAAATCTAGGCTGAACAACTCTACAAGGACCAATGCTTATACTCTGCATATCATCTACTCGAGCAGTCCTGTGATCGCATCAATGCCAAGATTCGCGACTTTGACAAGCTCAGGTATGTCCGTAGGTAGAATTTTATTCAATTCACGACACTTTAATGGTGTGTCCGTAGCTAAAATTTTATCCGTGTCGTCCTAAAATAATATCAAATGTTAAGTTTGTCTAGTTCGATTTTATGACTGCAGAGATATGTCAAATGATGATGTTAAAGAAGCGGTGTCAAGCTTGATATTTGCGGCCTCCAGATGTGGCGAATTACCGGAGCTAAATCGGATAAGATGTCTATTCAAACAACATCTTGGCGATGAATTTGAATTACAAGCTGGTAACTGTGTGAGTCCTCAAATTATGCGTGACCTAAGTACAAATCCAATACCTGATGATGTGAAACTCGAGTTGATAAATGAAATAGCTAAAGAGTACTCACACAACGACTTGGTGCTGCCTCGAAATGATGAACACATTCATTTCATCCCAAAATCTCCCAAAGAGGTGGGTATCATGCTTTACTTTTTCTATATATTCTCAGTGTATAATAATCAGACACCCTCACCCTCCTTTTGCTCAGATCATTATGTCGTAATAGGTCTGACTCTAATACCAAGGAATAGGTCTGACTCTGATACCAATAGTAATAGATTGGGCGTTTATCTTTTTACTCAAAATAGTTGTTGGGTAGTGCTACGTACCCGTTGATTATACCCCCAATCCGACATTCTGGGACGGATCCACATTGAAGGCATACAACTGTTATGGATATATAGAACAAATTTTTTTTTTAGTATTCTACTCTTATAATTTGTTCATTTTCAATAATATACCCATAAAATATTACATTTGCCCCCTAAAATTACTAAAAAAAATGCACTATTACCCTCCAAAATTCATTTTGGCCCCCTTACCTTACATCCTAGCTCTGTCCCTCCCAACATGCGATGGGATGAGCCCCTCAAACACTAATACACATGAACACGAACTATTGGACTTGACACGGATTTTCTTCAACTTGCAGCTTCAAGTGTGTAATCTCTATGGTAAAAGACATGAGTCCATTACTAGCAATAACAACAATGAAGTTGAAGTGAAAGCTTCAAAAATGGAGGATATGCTGAGGAGGATTAGGTCAAAGTTTTGTTTATCCCCAAAGATCATCAAGACAGTTGATTCTCAAATGAAAAATCAGGAGGAAGACGCTGCATCGAATCGGAAGATCAACAAGACAGTTGATTTTCAAATGAAAAATCAGGAGGAAGACACTGCATCGAATCGGACTTGGTGGGTCAGGAATGGTTCACCAACAGTCCAAAAGACCCCTATTGTTTGTATAGATAAAATTGAAGAAGAGCTCAGTAGCACTGACGATCTTGAGCTAAGCTTCAGGATTTATCTCAACAAGGAGAGTTTAATCAAGCCACGGCATGCATTGAAAATGTTGTTCGAAGAACGGTCTCTATTGGATCGTTAATTTTTATAAATACGTACTATAAATGTTGGGTTGTCAATTTTTATATCTTTACTTTGGAAAACATTTGATATGCTTACATATCAATGAATTTGGATTCCCTTGTCTCGTGTGCACTAAACGGTCCAATGCACAGGAAAAGGAAGCGGAATATATCCATCTTGCACCATCTCGAAGTATACAATTACATCTTCATCCCAGGTTTCTGCTCAGAATTTGGAAAACCCATCATCCAGATTTTCCAAATGACTGAAATACTCATAGCAAAAAAAAAAAAAAAAAAGAGGGGGCCATTATCCAATTTTACCTTTAATATTTCACAGAGTGACTGCTCTAAAACTCGAACTCATGGGATTTGTAAATTTCCTCTGCACTAGTTTCAACCAAAATCCATCTTATCGCAAAGTTACAAATAAATTTATCATTAATTTGGACATCCAAACTTAACCTGGAGTATAATCTCAGTATGTCACACAATGCTTTACAAGTTTAGTTACATTGCTGCTTCAATATCAAACAAAAGAAGAGTACAACTCCTGGGTCTATGGCCAAAAGACACTAAATGTGTGCATAAAAGCTCACTCTTAACATTGACAGGCCAAACAGAAGATTGCATAATCATACATGGTAAGAAAAGGCAATCAAAATTACAAGTTGGGTGGCCAAAAAGATGTCAGTGATGAAGCTTGATAATGCGGGAAATCCTCTCAAAGAAGACGGGGCACATCCCCGTGCTGAACATCAGAACTTCCCTCATCCACTCGGGTGCCACTCTCTCAAATGTCCCTAAAGACAACACACGGTACAGCAACTCTGTTTCCTCTCCGTCTGATTTATTTACCCACGTCAGACTGAAAGAATAACCTGCAACGAGAACAATTGTGATATGAATAAAATTGAACTGCTGATTAGATGGTAGCTGTGCCGCTTAATGAAGACAAAGTTGATTAAAGCAGCCGGACCAACTAAGCAAAATCTGCCTTAAAACATTAAATTGATCGCAGCCTAATGCTCACCCTTTCTAATATCTCCAGAAAATATAATAACGGGTGAGTTTATGACGAAGTTCAGTGTACAAGCCTTTACCTAGTTCTATGTCTCCTATTCCATTTGAAATTTAAGAAAAAATTGATTAACTATTACAGAAGTTATAAAAGGATCAATAACCACTAGAATTTTGAGTTGGAGATTCCAAGTCCTCAGATCGGAACTGACGGAACTCATTGCATTTTCAAAAATTTTAACTATTTTGACAAGCATGTAAATGGATGCATATTATGGCTTTAGAGATTAAAACTTCCCATGATATCATTCAGATTCAGATAATAACATTTCCAGCAGTCAAGTGTCAGAAAAGCCATCTAGTCATCTGTTGCATGTTGTAATGGAACAGGTTCAAGAAATGGACACACCTACAAGTATTGTTGGTAAGGAAATTACATATTAAAGCACCATTCAACTTTTTGTAGAACCCACCAATTCCTGTGGCGCAAAAATTCTATTCCTTGGGGTTACAAGACAAACGAGGCAATATCAAGATAAGAACCACGAACATATTAATGTGCCAAAGAACGGAAAATTAAAAAGGTTTGTAACCAACGTTTAAGAGATTGTATAAGTCATTTCAGATTTTAAAATTACCAGTCGATTGATGAAGTGCTGATATACATATTTCATCTGCTTGAATAACAGTGGATAACTTCATGCCAACTAAGCACTCAACAAGATCTTGAAACACGCAGTTGGCAGAGACAGTAACATCTGCACCGCTGCCTAAAATCACCGCCAAAATTATACTTAAAAATAAGACATGGTGCCCAGTAGAAGAGAATAAAATTTATGTTATTGATGCATACCTGAACTGTCAATCTTTCTTCGGCAGCATTCAGGCTAAATTTTTGCACTACAATAGTCAGTGTAGAAAAAAAATAACCAACAATTCCCCTTAAAACATGTATTCAGATGTACCTGATGAATGTTCAAAGGAGCACCACTGGGCATGGTTTGCTTGGATAAATCATTTGCTGATCCTATTACTAGGGCATTCTCAAGTTGATCACTGGCACTAGGACAAACAGAAACTTCTGTCTCAATCCCAGGATGCCTGCTACGTTTCCTCGTCATGCTTTTGGTTAAGCCATTGAATGCCTCCAATCCAACTTGAGAGCCGCCAGACGTATTCAGCTGTCCATTTTCAATTCTACCATCCTTTACACTGCAACAAAGTCCCTCCCGTTGAAGGTTTCGAAGCCTCTCAATTTCTTCTAAAAGCTCTTTATCTGCAATAAATTTGAACAACTAAATAATAGGGGAGGAATGAATCAACTATCTAACTGCTTGTAATGTCAGCAAAATAAAGAGATCAAGCAAGTGGCACTCATGAAAATACATAGTGCTAAGGTGAAAAGCTTGCACCACATATCATCATCATCATCATCGTTCCCTTAATCCCATATGAATGGGGTCAGCCACATTAATTCACTTTTTCTATTCTTTCTATTACAAGTCATCTCTCCTATAATATTTTGACTATTTAAATAATTTTAGTAACTTCATTCCATGTTAATTTTGGTCACCCCTCTCTGTCTCTTACCCTCCATACAAATTAGCCTTCCTCTACTCTACTGGTGCATTACAGACTTCATGTGTCTATACTCCCAAAGTCCAATTTCTCTTATTTTATCACCAATAGGTGTCACTCCTGATTTGTCCCACACTTTGATTAGTGACCCTATTTCCTCTAGTCACTCTAACCATCCATCAAAACATCCTCATTTCAGTTACATGAATTCATGAATTCGTTTTTATTATTATTATTATTATTATTACTATTTATTTTAAAGCCCAGCACACTGCATATAAAATAGTTGGTCTAATAATTGTTCTACAAAATTCCCCCTTTAACTGATATGTTATTTTTTTATTGCGAAAAATACCACTGGTCTGCCTCCATTAAACTAACTGTCCATTTTGTCCAACCTAATCCAATTCTATTAACAATATCACCATCTATCTCGTCATCCTTTTGTGTAATTGAACTTAAATACCGAAAGGGTTATCATGGATAATTCTTTGGTTTTGAAGGCATCTCTCATAAATACCTTTTCAAATTCACTATACCCACGTGTGTAGCATTTTCTCTTTCTTTCTTTTTTTCATCCATATTATGCTTTTCTAAATTTCTAGTTTTGATATGTCGGTGCAATGGTTTCCCTGCCAATTCATGGTAGGTAATGGCGTTATGTATCTTACTACGTCAGTATCCACTGTATCAATCCCACTGCTTGTGGTGTATCCATGGACCATGAATTCAGTACATGACATCACATCAACTGTCATAACTTAATGCACGGTTATAAAACAAGATTGTAGAAAATATATGGAAAAAGAAATAGGTAATCATGGTATGCTATGGTGCAAGGTTCCTACAAGTGCACTTCACTGTGAATACATGTCATTAATAGTACCAAATGAAAGGAATTCTGCCATGAGATTTCCTTGGTCAACAACTGAGTAATGGTGGATATGGAAAGAGTCCGATCTATCAAAACACCTTATAAGCATCATCAAGAATCTCCATAGCGACTGCCCTCACTCATTGTGTACAAAGCACACCAAAATTTACAAACAGCACCCAAAGCATCAGAAATTCTATCATCACCATCTCACCTATCTCCAACATTCACCAAAAGGTCAAATTTCAACTTATAAAAGCACGTACATATATAAACACAATCACAACACTCATAGAACCAGTTCAAATCTTCATATAATCACATAAGCAAGCACCACTATTCGACAAGAATAAAAAAATCATAGGTCTGCAGTTCTCTAAACTTTCAAAAACTTAACCTTCTTGATTTCCTTAAAGACAGTATTCTAGCAATGGCATAGCACCCCAGAGATATCTCCAACGACTAGTCAATAAAATTATCCCCTTTAGGTTCAAACCACCTGTTATATCTTAAATGACTCTATTTGTGGTGTTTTCAACTTAAATTGGAAACAATTTCCAACCTGAGCATGAGAGAGAGAACCTAATGTTTGAAATGTAAGAGATTGAGAAAGAGAGAGCTTGTATACCGTAGGAGATAGACAGTAGTACAGGTGTCGTCATTGCCAATGATTGAAACTGGAATTGTTACAGCAGCTCAAACAAGGGGGAAAGACAGGTGACTTTAGGGATTTTATTGAAAATTAATTTATAAAATTAGCAAAAGGTACATTTGTCAGCTTATCAAATTCTTTTTAAAATCCCTACTGTCGACCACAATCTGTGATAGGTGATAAGTAGATTCCATGTATTCAAAATTCATGTTGGCGTTAAGTAGACATCTCTTTTTAACTACATTAACTATTGGAATAAGACAAGTTCAAATTTGGTTTCCAACACTCAATCAAGTTATCAAACAGCACTGTAGTCTACTTAGCTGAAAAAAGTACTACATGAACAATCGACATTTTTAGGCTTTTGCATGAAAGGGTGAACCCCAGGTGCCATCTCTCCTATATCGCGGTTGATGGACGAAGCGCATCTCTTTGGCTTAACAACTGCCATCAAATGGGTTCTTAACAAAGGAATTGTGCGCTACAAAACTAAAAGTCTTAAAAGAAGACATTTTCCATAACCAAAGAAGTACAACACTCAATACCAAGATTTCCTAATTTCAAAACTATAAAAAGACCTTACGATACTAAATTCCAATTAATTAAGGACCTAATAACTCCAACAACCACCATACAGGGACTACTGCATCACTATCTAATGGCATTCTTAATTCTATGGACGTTGGGTTGTTCCAGTTTTATATGTTTGCCTATCTCCCGAAAAAATTATTAGGCCAAGTAGTAAAGACATGGATATGATACAACACGAATAAGCTATCAAATCCCAAAAAAGTATGACATGGACACATCTATATATAAATATAAATTAATGTTTAATTTCTATACTGAGAGTTACTTAATTTAGAAGATGAAACTTTGCAAATAAGTTAAGATTCTTGTACTACATATGCTACTACTTTTTCATTACAATTATATTTTTGTTCTAATTATACGAAAAGAGTAATGCTTGACTTGCAGTGACCATGTGTATAACATATTTTTCCTCAGAAAAGGTAGGACATTTTGAGGTAGGTTCATATTCTTTCCAAGATTTCTGATGTACATACTCGTAGATAAGTTTGTGTTGTACAAGACTTCTGTGTCTAGAATGTGTTAGACACTTGATGTATCAATTAAAATTCCAAAATGAAATTTAATTTTAAATTTATGGCACATCCATAAACTGTCAGACATATATCAAAGAGTGTCTGTGAAGTGTCAGTTTCTGATACGTATCTAACATGGACACAACACCAACTTAAAAGTGTTTATGCTTATTCGCATTGGGTTCCCTCCTTGTTGGACCATGATCATTGAATTTTAGTCTCATTGATTTTGCGGATAGAAGTGCCTCAAGGGAAAAATCTAAGATGAAATAGGTGTTTGTGTAACTACATTAAAATATCCAAGAAAAATATCATCCATCTTCAATTCTTTACCTAGGATATGCTCAATCACTAGGCAGTCTAGGCAAACACACACTTTTCAAAAGAAATTATGCTAGTTAATGTTCTACATAACCATGAAACAGATAACTACTACAATCTATAATGGCCAAGCTGGCACCACAACTAAAAAGCTTTGGTACTCAGTAATATTCATTAAATGAACAATTATCTCTTACTCTTCTGTTTCTCTTCCATTGAAAGCCTTTGATACTCAGTAAATTGTTCATGCTTTGTAGACCTGCAACAGAAGTAATGCATGTTTTACAATTCCAATTCTATATCTCTTCAAATCTGAATCAGTGCCCTATGCAAATTGCTTGCCTGATTGAAGCAACTTCATTTGTCAAATCATTGACTTGTACACGTAACCTCTCATTTTCATTTCTCAAGTGTGCTATTAATTCATCTGCAGCTGCAACAACAAATAGACAGTATAAAGCATCAAGTCAAACAGAAAAATCTTGAGCTTTAACATAGTCACGTAACACATTATAACATGCAATAGTCTTTTTAGATCTTACAATAGAAAATGACTAAGATTCATACAAGAATTTCAAGTTACTTGCCAGCAGAATCACACCACTTCCGGTTTTCCTAAAACAAATCTAATTAGACACGAACCTAACATATGGTAACCTTAATGGTTTCATCGAAAATTCAACTTATTTTTAGCCACACTTGGTCTTATGACACCTCATTGTGACCATTATAATGCTTAAATAATTATCAAACAAATATATTAATAATGGGAGAAGCAATAAACTACCACCATATGATCATAATTTGTGGATGCAGCACAAGTTTCACATTCTAAAACAGAAACCAAACCTGTATTGCAACTCCTCAAAATTTTGTCACAGAGAGAACTCTGTGCATATTTGTAATTTTACTAGATTGAATATCTAAAATTACTGTCATTTCTATTTGTGTGTATGTGGTAGTGCCATGCAAAAAGAAGAGTGAACAAATTAGTACTTATGTGACAGGTTTTGAAACAAGAAGAAATAGCTCACTTGTTTATTCTGGGCAGTGAAAGTAACCAAAACATTTTTTTTTTTTGGGCGAATGCCTGAACAACAGCAGGTCAAAGATGGAGAGAGGTTTCATGTGTCAACAAATTTTTAACACCAAACTTTATAGGGACAAGTGTCCTACGTATCATGACAGCAGATGCATGCCTCGGAATACATGGATTGAAGCCCTATAATGTAAATAAATACGCCATTGCATATACAGTGTTCGAAAAACGTGTGTACTAGCCATGAAGTCTTGAGAAGATTGATTGCCCTTACAAGGAAGCCAATCATTGATAGAGAGAGAGATGCAGAGTTTGAGCCTTTGAGGTCAAAAATGGCTTTTTGATGGCCTTGCGAAGGCCATCAATCAATGACCTAAGGAAGCATCAGTTAAGTATCTACAACGTTGCAGAAGACAAGAGTGTTAATGGAGTTAAAAGGGGACCTTTACATGCCAAGAAAACAGACTTCTTATTACTATTATTTTGTTTCTGCAATAAACTCACATACCCACTTGCCCATATGGGGACTTCAACCCTCACCTACTTTGGAAGACGAGGAAGTAAAATAGGCTACAGCCCTTGGTTACAAAGCAGACTTATTTGAACTAATAATGGGCCGATAGTAATCTAAAGAATAGATGCATGTGACAATGAACTCACTGTATGATGTATATAAAAAATTCCACATAAACCATGATTTCAACATTTTAGATATAATTTATTGACCCATATCCAGAATACTTGTCAAGCTAATATCAATATGATTACGATCAAAGCACAAGAGTTGGCTGATCAACCTTGAGTCCCCACTCAAGGACAACTGAACCATGAAACACAATCCAAGAGGCCTTTTTAAGGTATAAACACTTTAAATTGCCATCAAAAAAACGATTGACCTTCCTCAACAAGGGTAAGAGACTGCAAATCACGGAGCTTCATCAATATGAAATGTCATCGTGCATTTTTTTTTTTTTTTTTTTTTATTTTGCATCAAGTGGACAAATAGAACAGTCAAGTACATGACAAAATCAAATGAAGGAAATACTAGAGATCATTTAAACAACTAAGCTATAATTCTCTCACAATGTATACCCACTTATCCACCAAGTTCATATGACAAGGTCAAAACATAAAAACCCAGTCAACAGAAACTCTGTTACCACTCTAATTCAAGCTTCAAAATGAACTGCATTGAGTTGAACATGTTCAGTCCAAAGTAGAAACAAATTTGCAGTTTACATCCTCTTGCAGGAACCACACAATTTAAGGTCAACATAGGAAGAGGTGCAAGATCCTTTTTATAGCAATACAAAGTTTGTTAACGGAAGTACGAAATCATATGTCAGGGAAAGAAAATAAATTGCATACCAGAGACATAATTCATAAATTTAACTTCTTGTTCCCGATTAATCTCATCCACCTCCGACCATTTCTTCGTCTAAAAACAAAAAACAAAAATAAAAAATCAGATTACAAACAAAAACTAAAAAAGACTACCAAAGAATAGTAGTAAGAAAGGATCTGTTTCTTTCCATGTGATGTTTATGTCATTGTCATAACAAATAGTATTTATTGCTTGGAAATTTTTCCCAAGAAACAATTTTCACCTAACACAAAAGCAGATCATATAGTACCCAAAATTTAAAAAATAAATAAATAAACACAAGCAAAGTGAAAGAGGGAGAAGATTGAACCTTGAGTCTACTGTACTTTTCATATAGCTTTGCGTAAAGGGCCTCCATCTACGTCAGAGATTAGCAAAACCCACAAATTTAGAAAGGCAAATACAATGTAATCATATGAATTGACACTGTAAGCCGTATACATGACCATACAGAAAGCAAAGGAGTCATACAAAACCCTAATTTTGACATATAATTGGACTGTAAAAACACCAACACTGATCAATGAGTTTAAGGAACCCTAGATCTCTGTAACTGACCTCCGAATTTACACCCCAAACAGAAATAATTATACATGAAGGAGTTTGAATCTGGAAAGGCTAGAATTTTATGAGAAATGTGAAGTAATAATACCAACCTGTGACTGCGACTGTGAGGACCAAGAAAAGGCGGGAAATGGATTTTCGAAACAATTCTCTTAGAACTCCCAAGTGATTCGAGTTTTAAGCTTCAGTATATTTTGGTAGACGTCGCAACTCGCCCCAACGTTCTCTCAGGAGAACCGTTCGAACCGGATGGAACTGAATCGTACGGTCTGTTTCGGTTCGATTGTGATCTTAAAAATTTTAAAAAGAAAATGGTTCATATATAATTTGATTCCGATGAACCCCAACTGTTAGTATAATATAAATATATAGATATATATTTTATTTTTAAATTTAAGTATTCCTCACTTATATGGTAGTACATGTCTAAAAAGTGTAAATGGCTAATATTTGACTTTAATGAAAATGTACATGTTTTTTTTATGTGAACCAATAATATATATTCACCATCTCGAGAAATTATTAAATAGTTTTTAATCATTGACACATGGTGAATTAGTTATATTTAAATTCTTAGGTTGAGAAAATGATTCCACAAAAGTATATTAATAATGAAGAAATTTTAACATTAACTTTTATTGGATTAGTCCATCAAATGTCAAATGGACCAGGACCATCTCATAATTTATTCACCATTTCTAATTTAGTAAGTGAGTATGTACCCCCGACATTTTTCTCATTTGGTGATTAAAGAAAACACATCTATTTAATATTGGTCCACTTCAATAGTGTGGGCATGTACATCCTCTAATGGACAAACTTAATTGCGTCTGTTATATTAATGACGTTGTATCACCAACTGATTAGATACTGACATGTAGTAATAGACACCTAAAAAATAAAGTATTTTTATTTATAGGATATAGTACAATTAGTTGATGACACATGCAATGAAGTCTTTCTCATTGTGGTGAGGGCTTGAATATTGTTCATTTTAAAATGAGTTATATATGAATTTTTATTTGGATTCAAAATTGGATATGGATTATGATACTAAAATATGATTCTTCACCTAAATTGGAAATAATTAGGATAACAATAAGCTCAATTAATGTTTTAATAAATTATTAAAGAAAATAAAAGGAAGTAAACCATTTTTGTTTGGAAAAAGTAAAAGTGATAAAAGAAAAGAAGCTATGTTAACCAATTTATTATCTTATTGAGCTAAAAAAATAAAAATAATAATAATAATAATAATCTTACCATTTTAAATTAAATAAATAAATAAAATAGTAAATGAGTCCATGAGTCATTAAAAAATCAAGCAAGACAACCGATGAGATAAAATGTAAAAATAGTAGGTATAAATACTATAATAAATTAATAAAAATAATCACTGGGGCCAATTGCCCCCACCGAGTTATCCGTAGGTCCGTGCATTACTCTAACCAAACTTGTAGAAATCTTTGTTAGTCAACCTTAAATTAAAGTTCATGACATTTGATGGTAAGGTCAAATTTGTTTTTAAAAAACATTCTAACAGTAATATTTCAACCTTAACTAGAATTCATGACATCTGATGTTAGGGTCAAATTTGTTTTTAAAAACCATGCCAACAGTAATATTTTAACCAATTGAGAGTGAAAGGAAATAATTCTTACATCTACTACTCTAATCTATTTGTTAGGCATAATAGTTTCTATCTTTTTATTGTAGTGAATGAGACCCACATTTGAGTTTATCCACAATATCAAATTAACAAAGACTCATTCGGTTAGACAAATAAGTTAAATTAGTAAATGTAAATATCATTATTCAGAGTGAAAACATCAAGATACAAATGATTATTAGTGGTATAGAAACAAGAACTTCAGCCCTTTGCTTTTCTATAATTTTCATACTAAAAAATTCATTTATCAGGTTAGCCTTGGGGATGGTGATAAGTTGCAAACCGGAGTGCAGATCTACACACAACTATACATCTCTCATATTTGCAGATTCAGTAGAAAACCCTACAATTGTCATTTCTTTGATAGTCTCATAATTGTCCATGATACTGAATTTTTTATTTTTTTTATTTATTTATTTGGTGTAACAAGAAAATGAACTGGAAATTGAACCTGCACACCAAAAAAAAAAAAAAAAAAAAAAGAAAAAAAAAAAAAGGGAAGAAGAGGAAGAAAGAAAGAAAGATCGAAGTGTAACTTCTTAAAGAAGAAATTTACTTTTGGACATTGAGAAAGAGAAATCGGATTTTTATTCGAATATGAGCATACATGTGAATAAGTCGAAAATAAATCTCCCATACAATGAGCAAGCCGCTTGATTCTCTCAGATCTCAATACTACCACAAAACATTTCATCCTAACTTGGTTGATAAAATAGAACTAAAATCAAGAGTTCTTCAATACTGATAGAGCATCCTTTGTTGCAGCAGAGATAACAGCATCAGAAGCATTTGGCAAGTAGTAATATTTTCCTGGCAAACAAAATTTTTCGAAGAAAATTTGTCAGAAGACAGCAACCCTGATGATTGAATACGAAAATTTCTTCATGTAAACAAACCTTGAGCAACTCTTGCAATCTCTTTGGCGAAACCAGTTGAAATGAACTTATTTTCGGTGTCAATGACAAGGAGAGACATCCCTGCTTTGTATATTTTACCAGCCACTTCAAGAATTTCATCCTTAAAGACAACACAATCAAAATATGTAAAGAATCATTGTAAAGTCGATCCGTATATTGAGAAATCTTGAATCCAATAGCAGAGACTTGTATAAGCACCTATTCTTTGTGCACATGGCTTGCAAGTAAACATTACGACAAAAACTTCATTAGAGAGACCATCAGGTAAATTACCAGGGTGATTAAATTTTTAGGACCATTTAACTTACCCATTTCTTTTTATGGTTAATTTTTTTAAAAGGTAAGGTAAAGTCTCATCTGATCGCGATGATTCTTGGACATAGCATTTAAAGGCAGGCACATATATTATTAGGTACTGCACTAATGTCACTATACTGTGTTCTATTTGGTGCAAAAATTTACCTTCAACTCTTGAGCAGAAGGTCTAGGTGCATCAGAAGTAGCAGCTTCAGGATCAGTGGATCTTTTCAGTGATATATTGGCTCTACCATCAGTTATTGCAACGATCATTATACGTCCAACATCCCCACTCTTTTCTGCATTTAGCCCCACCCTGACAGCCTAAAATGGAACAGTTATAAAATAGAGATCGTACCCGTAATAATATTATAAACATTTAAATGTGGGGTTTATTGAGATATAAAATCCGAAGTGCTGAAGGCAGTGGTTCAGACAATAAATGCCAGAAACTAGGAATACCGAGAATCGTTCTGAATAATTATGAAGAACTTATTTCAGTACCATCAAACAATTTGGGAATCATTGGCAAAAATGTCCATAACGTTCAAGAAATATATGGAACACAATATTAATACACTAATATTTATGAATGCATCACTAGAACATCTTGTTTAACTCAAGGTAATTTCAAAGGTTTTGACATTTTTGCCAATATGACAGCAATTATGGGATTCAGTTGGACTCGCATACCGTTGTAAGACCATGAGCTAGGGGAGAACCTCCACCACATGGAAGTCTCTCAAGGCGTTTTCTTGCCATCGCAATTGACCTGGAAGGAGGCAAGAGAACTTCTGCAGAGTCCCCGCGGAAAGGTATGATAGACACCTATTTAATGTTAAAAGTAATCAAAATCAGATAGGTGAGCATTTACAACTTTTTTCAGGCATACTAATCGAACTAGTAAACATACTGAAATTTAATCCTCAAGAAATGAAATCTGGATTGAATCACATGATTGGAGTAATAAATACTTATTTCTTCTATGCTGTAATCACTAATATGTATTTATAGCGCTGTAGATTTTTTAGCTCATACACATGTTTGTCATTTTCTTTACATGGTAGTAGCAAAATCTAATATTGTTTACCAACTTCTCAAATTTAAAGAAAGTACTTAAGAATATCTTTAACTTCCTAGATGAAGACCCTGTGGCGTTGTATTGAGCCGCTGTTTTCTAGTTATTTTTTCCCTTATTTATTTATATATTTTGGACAATAATAATCATTGACTCGTATGAAACAGACTTGTACTACTGAAATTATATTAACAGAATTGAAAACAAATGGCAGGCTCACCGAAAAAGCAATTTGTAAATCTTGGGGGATCAAATGTTCCATTACTTACACTATTACTTCCATATGGTATTGTTCAATAGCAACAGGAATGATAAATAAGCATTCGATCAGAAAATGAATTTTTCATTACTACTAACCACCTGTATAGATGTGATATTCGGCAAGCCTACCGTGAATTAACAGGCATGGCAACTACAGCTTTAAACAGATTTTAGGTTATGGCTTGCCATTCAAGGAAGATTGTCTACTCAACAGATTCTGATTCAGAGGGGTGTCATTGGGTCTGATATGTGCATTTTCTGTAGGAGCAGAATTGAAGACATTGATCATTTGTTATTTGACTGACGTTTTACTAGAAGAGTCTGGAAAGCTGTTTCTGCTAAGGGAGCTTGAACTCGGCCTACTTATGACTGGTATGGATCAGTGCAGTGGGCATCTCTTACTCTGAAAGGTAATTCCCAGGTTTCCATTGTTAATAAGTTGGCACTGTTTGCTGCTGTGTATGAAATTTGGAGTGAAAGGGACCTCTGGCTTTTCTCTCGAGTGTTTAGAACTTGTGAGAGTATTATTCAAGCTATTATTCAGTCCATTAGATGGAGGGTGCTCTCAGTTAAGAATTTGCAGAGGAATTATGGCGATGATTGGCAATGCAAGAATGGTCTTGGCTTGATTCTATTATTTTCAGGCCTGCCTGGGCCTTTTTTTTTTTGTGCTGTCTCTTTGATGTTCACCGATCATCGTAATATTACTCAGTATAGCTGTGGCTTCTGGTGTAGTGTTCTTTGACTGAATTGCCTTTGTTTTTTGCTCTGTTGGTGGATTGATTTGATGGGGTTGATTGGCTATTCTGTGAGCTTCTGGTTTGATCGGGATATTCAGCTGGGGAAGGCAGGTTTGGGTGCTGCTTAGAGGATTGTTATGGTCATGTCTCAGTACATATCAGGTGCTTTTACTGTTTCCCAGTTTTTGTACCTTTGGCATGAAATCAGGTCTTCTGGGCTTTTAGCTAAGCTCTGTCTTTACTTTGAGCTCTTTTTTGTTGTGTATATGGGGGGTATTGGGATTTGCAGTGTTTTGTTTTGTGTGATCACGATGACCCTTTTCTTCTGGGAAAGCATGCTTGGTGCTCTGTTTAGTTTCTTTTTGTTTGGTGGGTTTAGGGTTTCCATGAGACCCCTCCCTACTGTTCTATTGTAATTTGGCTTTTGCCATTTTGATATCAATAAAATAAATTCTGGTTGCTTCTCAAAAAAAAAATTAAAAAATTAAAAAAAAAAATAAAAACAACTTTAAACAAAACGTTTTTCTATCAAGACTACAATAATGAGTTCTTACGCAAGAAAATCTCACAGCATTTATATGATCCTATGAACTGTTTATCTACCTTAAATGCTCCAGGAGATTGTCATTGGATCTAAAATAAATAAATAAAGAAGAAGAAAGAATTAAAATAGAATGTTTTTGAAGAACAGAATCGTTACATGAAATTTTAGTCTAATTTTTAATAAACAGAAATGTCAAAATTCAGAATACATATATTTTTATATGCACCTGATCTCTGCTTGTATAACTTTCAGCCAGTAATTTAAGTGCAGCTCCTTTTGCATTCTGCATTCGGTTCAATGCCATGCTCCCACTAGCGTCAACCACAAATATAACCTGCCAAGTACGAAATTCCCAGAAAAACCAAATTATAGAGTTTACGAGTTATTTACTTGACAGAAAGTCATACACCATTTTTTGTTAAATCTTCTCCCTGAAATTGACCATTATCCAGTGCAGGTCCTAGCGTCCTACTTACGCAGGGTTGTTGGGCTGGGGAAATTAGACAGAGACCTAAGTTATAACATTATTTTGCACAATTGACAACTCTCAGATTTAACCCAGCATTCTCACATCAGGCAACCCAAGGTTTTACCATTGCACCAACCATCTTCTTTCACCAGTTTAAAGAAAAAATCTTTTTAAGTGAACTCAACCATAAATAATGCAGTTTCGAAGAAACAAGACTAGGACATTTCAATTTTAGGCTGTGTCAATAAATTTAGCTGGCTTTGATTACATTTTTGCAGAATTCTCAGTATTCAACATGTTCATGAACTACAAAATTTAAAATCTTTATGATGGTTTCTTTAGTATGCTAATTAGTAACAGAAGGCAGAGCTCTGATACAGAAAGTTTTGGTGTCAAAACTTATATAATGTGATGTACTGAAAAAATTAGAACTAAGAACGAGGTTTTGCACCAGAGTGGAAAAGAAAAAAAGATAAAAGATGGATGTTAGGTATAAATTAATTTGATATGAGTTCAAACACTACCAGTGCTCCAGCTTTTCGCGCCATCCTTTTAGATCTCATATCAGTTTTCTCAACATAAACTTTCCTACTCTTCAGAGTATCCTTCTCCCTTCGCAACTTTTGATATGGTGCAGCTGCTCTAAGAGTTGCATCAACAGCTAGTCTCTTTACAGGACCCTGCTTAAGATTTTGGAACATGGTCAAAGCAGATAAAATGCAGGAGTAAACTTTCCCAAACACAGTTCCAAATTCCTGAAAATCTTAGATATCTGCGCATCAGCTAATTTCAACAATTTAAGAATGCCAATAAACCATTCAAGATGACCAAATTAAACTGCTAATCTTTGGCATTTTGAATTCAGCTAGACACAAGTTCAAAGTGCAGAAATGCATGCAGTAGCCATTTTTTCTTTTTTTCTTTTTTTTTGGTTTCCAATGGTGAGAGAAGATACCTATCAAAAGTTTTAAGAAAAAAAGAAAAGAAAGTTAGATAAGAGAGGCAGAACTGACTTTGGGAAGCATTGGCTTAATGTATCGGCCTCTATCCTCTGAAAATATAACATTCTTAGCCCTCCCAGCTTTTCCACGGCGTCTCTGTGCTTGTTGTGCAAAGAAAAGAAGTTTCTCATCCACCAAACCCCCTTCTGCATCAAAGATAAACTCTTCAGGTATTTGTTCCTGTTCTTGCTCATTCTCTTCATCATTTTCATCCTGGTTAGAAAGTGAACCTTCCCGTCATAAGCAAATACACACTTCACTACATTAATTTCTTCTATAGTTCAAGATGAAAGCTAATAAATCAATCAAGAAGCAAGACAAAAGGAAGTTGATTTCTAGCAATGACCAATCAAGTGAAGAGGAGATAAAAATTACACAGTATTGTACATCAATATGAAGTTTTCAGAAATATTAATTAACCTCTTGATCTTCCTCCTCATTTTCCTCCTCAGCAGAATCTTCATTTTGTGGTGGGGGTGGTGGAGGTGGGGGTTGCTGGTTTTGCTGTTCAGGTGGATTCTCATTGAAGATTGAGCGAGGAAGAATTACCAGTTCTACCTGTATCAGATAATATATCAAAATGGGTAGATATTGTATATGTATTCACAAAAGAAGTCATTTATGACAATGACACCCAATAAGATAGTACATGTCTATCTTTGATTCAATGCAAATATTTGATAATGCAATAAAGTGCTGTAGACTTTCACTGGTATTGACAAGATCTGCTTTTTATCTTATTATGATTGCATAGCTAATGGTTCATGGAGCTGATTTGATTTAGAAACTTGTGCACCACACTTTTAAAATGGTTTTAGATGAGACTCCGGTTTTAAACATGCACTGACCTCCACAAACAACCACAGTTTGAACCTAAAGTTGAAGTTTCAAACTGGTTCATACCCAATGCATGTATGGACTATGGAAATTCCAGTCCTAATGAGCAACCACATCTACTTGAACTTTTGAATGGCACTATAAATTTCACTGTATGGTTATAAGATTCAGCTCTGGTTAATGGGATGAGATGAAAGAAACACTTCCCAAAGCAAGTGTTTAAATCGATTTACTCTTTGAAAAACAGGATGCTTTTTTGACAGTCAGGAAGCAGAATTCATTTATTAATTATGATATTAAGTGGATAAGACCATATTAGTACTACATGACCATTTAAGGCTATACAAGGCAGAAGATTTTGTGAGACATGGTACTGCTAATATCCCAATTTTCAATTGTATGATCTTTTACATTAAAAAGAATATGGAATTTCATTGCTCCTTTGTTATTCAAGATTGTCCTTGAGCTAAATTTTCGGTAAGAAGTATTTACCAGCACTGACTTAGAGGTTTCAAATGATATAATTATATGTCACACATTGTTTTCTACAGCTCATAGTGAACAAGTCCTACTGATGGCACACGCAGAAGCCACAAATGCAGAATAAAAAACATTGTCAGAACATCACCTCAACACTATGAAATATAGTAAAGATTCAACAGTCCACCAACAAGAAGATACCCTGAAGACATTTTTCAATTAAATTCAACAGGTGTACAAAGATTATCAAGCTCTCCAAGATAAAACGGGGGAGAAACCAAAGGGTCAAGGATCATCAAATTCATGCAAAAGACAGTTGACTTAAGATTAACAAACTGAGTGCAAAAACATTGCAAATGTTTTATGTATTTACTTCATTATCTTTCAAGGTGAACAAAGAAAACTCACTCTCCATGATTTTGGCAGACAAAGGAAAAACATAATATCATAACAGGATATGCAATATAGACGGTGTAAACTTTGTGTTCTAGATATATCGTAAATAAACAAATCTACCATTGCTCTGTTCGAACAACAATTGTCCAAAAGCTTAAGCAGTTAAGTAATGGGCCAAACAATGTATATCAACAATCACACCCTCCCTCACATGAGTAACCATCTTGCACGTCGAGATGTAAACAAATGCAGATGTAAAATGGTAAAACAGATGCAGATATAGAGACTTAAATCCAAGATGGCTTTGATACCATATCAATGGCCAACTTTCTAAAAGTTTATACTATTAGAGAGGTTGTAACAGTAATAACTTGTATCCTCTAAAATGCTTACTGTTGGGATAATATCATAGCACGTAGGTGGGATCCAACAATGAGTTTTCAACAAACAAAATCATTATGAAATTACCTAACCAAAATAAACAAAAAACAAAAATACTTAACAGCTTTCTTCAGGTCATCCACACCAACTTTTTCACGTCCTTCTAAAGCAGCTAAGCATTTGGCAACACGGGCAGCATATAGCTCAGCTCTGTGTCCCTGTAAGTGATAACAGATGTTTATTATTGCAATCCAGATGCAAAACCTAATGCTATAAGAATCTGTTCAGATGTCATATCCTGTCTGCCATAGTATTATCACATATCAATCAAGTGGTATAAGGTAAGCCATATTGGCCAAATTTAAAGTGAAGCTGCAGTAGGCAAATTAAAATATCTTCTTATGGCTTCAAACTGTAAATCATCATCTATCTAATCTTTTACCTTTGATTATAACATATATCTATCATATATTTTGTCTTTTCTTTGGTGCAGAAATGGCATCTGAGTTAAGTCTAGTTCTCCCTACTCCTTGAATATCAATGAAAAGAAGGGAAGTGCACGTATACAATTGTTTGCCTATATATAATGATTGTAGGACAGGAAGTACAATAGATTGCATGCTCTGAAACCTGATATCCAAAACCACTCGTCGAATTGTTTATTTATTTTTTTATAAGTAAGATTTCATTAAAAAAACACTCAAGATGGGAGCACTACCAAAGGAATACACAAGATGTTTGTGAGACATTAATAACAGATGCCTTCATTCTGATTCTGAGACATTGATTAAAGATGTTTGTGATTTACAATGAATAGATGAAACAAAATAAATTTTAACAGAAAAAAGTTCTGTAAGGAACCTGGCAACCACCACGAAGGGATTCCATAACCAGGTACTTTATTTGCTCGCTGCTGATAGTGACATCCTTCAAATACTCCCTTGCCAAAATAATCTGCAATTAGCTATTCTCAGATAAACCCCAGAACCAAACTCATCTTATACCAACATAAACCACCATAGAGAAAAAACTAATTAAAAATAATATAGAGAACTGCAAAAAATTAGCAATTTAGCCAATGAAAATTAACTAAAGGAAACAGTCAAATGAAAACTATTGCAGTAAATATTAAAGTAGACGCAAATAAATTATTTGTCCATAGCTCCAGCTGTCAGGTTGTAAAAGTTAAAATTGATATTACAGACACCTGAAATTCTAATTATAACTCATGTTGAAAGTTGTATGATGAGATTTCGACTCCTTTTGAAGTTGCATATTGGAGAAGATTTGAATTGTAAAGCTTTTTATTTGAGCAGTGTTAATTTACATAGTATAATTATTTAAGACTATGAAGAGTTGATGCTCCAAGGAAAGCCATGAAAAAATTCATCAGAGAGACAATGAAACTATTTCTTTACTTTGTTGTCCATAAATACCACTAGTAACATGTATCCTTTGTTATTATATGAGTAGTGACTTTAAATATTGGGTGAATTTTGCATGGTGGATACAAGTCTGTGATTTGATACCATTGCATGCCCGCACTCAGTGGAGAACTTAACAGCACAAAAAATGAGATCAAGAACCTAGTTACAAATATAATTGGTTATGGCTCAAAACTCCATAATGTAAGTTATCAACTGAACTACACAAGAGAATGCAAACGCCTGCAGCACACATGCTAGTAAAGAGAAGAGATTGCACAACATGCCGATCTAGTCGTGCAAGTGTCTTTTTCTTCTTCTTCTTCTTCTCATTCTTTTCTTTTTCCTTAATTTATAAACTTATGTAAACCACGGATAAAGCAAATGAGTTCCGGATTTCAATCAGGATACATTTTAGTTTGATTCTTAGAAATTTTACCTGAAATTGTCAAGTGAGTTGCCTCCAATGGAGAAGTACAAAAATTTGACAAAGGATTGAGTAAGACTCTGTTTGGTTTATGGATTTAGTGAGTGAAAGAAAAAAAGAAAGAAAATGTACCAAATATTATTTATATTACTTACACACAGGTTTAAATTTCTCAAAAAGCGATTGGAATTCAGAAAGGGAAGAGAATATGCCAAATTAAAATGTACCACTTTTCCCCCTATTTCCTTTTTAGTCTATTTCTAGTGGTAACCAAATAAGGAAAAATGATTTCTTTTGCGTTGCCTTTTCCTTTTTCTTACTAAATCCACAAACCAAACAGAACCTAACACAAAATATTCAAGAGACCCAACAAAACACTAAAACTTCCAACAAGCTTATCTTCTCATGGCTAAGAAGAATTATGCTTTTATTAGCATTCTTCTCTAATGTAACACCATCAATAGAAAAGTGTAAAAAATCTTGATGATGTTTGATTCAGAGAAACTTTCAAGGAACCCAGGAAAGGGAAACATTTTTCAACAAGATTGAATTCCGCCCATCTTGAAAAATTGTACATGAATTAACCTTTCATCAGCCCAATACTCCTCAAGAGTTTGAGAAAGAATTTGCCTAATAATGAAGAAATAATGTTGATGGACTTTACCAAAATTCACAACATACAGGAGTCAGACACTAGCCCACCCATGGACAATCCAATCTATCTTCTCAGTAGCTATTAGTTCCAATTATTTGATGTTTTTGGTTGAATATTAGAAATTAAGAACTCCAGAATTTTTGAACTGAAAGCTGTTTTATTGAAGTTAAAGCTAAAGTTGGGAGATAAGTGTTAGTAGAAGTATCTGTTTTTCTTCGAATAGAAAATAACTAAGCCTATTTAGACTCAAATTTTACATGTTCTTGATTTCAGCATTCTCATATTTGATTTAAACATAATTTTGAGTTTGTTTCTAAGGGATCAAGTTACTTCTAAATTTGAGTTGCCCAAAGAAAAAAAGGCCGAAGCCTGTGTAACAGAACAAAAAAATTATAAAACACAACTTACTTCGAAAGCTCATACTTCTGTCTTAGGTGGCATGGTTTAATTTTTTCAATGTTAAAACTAAATTATACTTTGTTCCAAAAGTAAGGTGAAAATCCTCTAATTATATATCCTTTTTATCTACCTCTGTGGTTTTGTTTATATCTTCTACCTCAAAAAAAATACATTGCGGCTAAAAATTCCAGTAGCAAGTCCTCTTAAGCTTCAGTTGTTTTATTTTATCTTATTTTTTCCCTGTTCAACCCAAACCTATACTAGCCCTTTTTTCTGCCAACCGAAGACCTTGTTCCAGCTGACAATAACTTATTTTTCTGCCAACCAAAAACCTTGTCCCTGTTCAAGTTACTTATTTTTTTTCCTATAAGAAACAAAACTTTATATTTAGCCAAATAAGAGAATACAACAAAAATGTTGAGGAATCCTTCAAAAAAAATACAGAAGGAAGAATACAAACAAAGGAATAATCACACCCCGATAACCTCACTAGCCCTCAAGGGGAAAGAATGAGCCATCATAGGGAACAGAAAATCCTAGCTTGGCCAATCCATCTACATTGCCATTGGGTGATTTAAGAATCCAACAGATCTGCGCCTCCAGATGTAGCTCAGGGTACTTATAGAAAACTTTTTGTAGCAAGTTGATTGCTTGATGGTATATCTTATCATTATGGAACTTTTTCAGCACCCTAAATATAACTCCTAAATAAGTCAACTCAATTTATTACAGTTACCTGAGTCTTTGCATTGTCTGTTTCTTCCTCAACCATTTTAAAAACTTCGTTACTATGTTCCTGAAACTGTGTTGCAATTCCAACAGCTGCAACACGTTCGTCAAAACTCATTGGAAGATCTGCACTGCAGAGAATGGTGTCATAGTGGGAAAGAGTAAGAAAAGTGAAAATACCACTAATAGTTGTAATTGCATTGTGGAAAGGTATGGATATCACAAGATAAATAACTTATTTATTTCTTGAAACTACATAAGTGAAATTCTGACCGGAGATTAAAAATTTCAGAATTCAACAAGATCCCATCTTCACTTGCATCTCATGGCAAAGTCAACTAAAAAAATAATGTGGAAGAACAAACTTTTGCATGAAATTTCTATAAACTGATCACAACTTTTTACCTCAAATTTATTGCAATACGATCTAGTAAATGTTCACGTACAGCACCCTCTTCTGGGTTATAGGTTGCAATTAAAAGTGGCTTGCATGGGTGCTTAAAGCTGATTCCCTCTCTTTCCACTATATTAACTCCCTCAGTCAACACATTAAGAAGCAAATTACTGATGCCCTCATCTAAAAGATTAATTTCATCAACATATAGAACTCCTCTATGAGCTTCGGCAAGAAGGCCAGGCTGGAAAACAGTGGTTCCAGATTTCACAGACTCTTCAACATCAACAGACCCAATTAGTCTATCTTCAGTGACACCTAGTGGAATCTGCAGCACATACACAACTAAGATCATATAATAAAAAGAAGACGCTGACATTGAAGGCTTCTTTCATGAAAGCTACCTGTACAAAAGGAGATCTGATAACTTGAGTCTTAATATTACCGGCAGAGTCATATTCCACTCGATCAGCTAAACCATCTTCCCACCTTCAAAGATTATAATAAACCATTTACTATTTTGAAAGAACTTATTGCCCACCACATTTTAAAGCATGAAAATCGTCATAATGAAAACAACAATCTAAGTCAAAATCTTGCCATACATGAAAGGAACAAATACACATGATCATTTGCTGCATAAATATTTTAGAATGAATGTAATACTTTTATCAAAACTTTAATTCAAAACCTTGACACAAATTATTAAAACTCTTTTGTCCTTCAAGTGACAATATCGTATCATTGATCTATATATTAATACAACTGGACAATTTTCTTTGTTTATGAATAAATACCCAGAACAGGCAGACAAACAAAAACACAAGCCTGTATTGGTTCTTGGAGATCAAAAGTGTTCCTGCGTTAGGTCAATAGGACTAAGTTGGCTAATTTCGTGGATCAAAACTTATTCATTTTTTTTTTTCTTTTCAATTTCTAATTAGTTAGGAAGCTGTTAAAAGTGAGTTAAGTAGATTACCTCCAAGTTGAAGACTGAGCTACTACAAAGGTCAAATTGGTAATCTTATACAACAAAGGTATAAAGGTAAAATCACACTGTGATACACACCAAAATAGTTATATATATTGCATACACATGGCATCTTAATTTGAAAGTGTTTTAAATACGAAAATGCATGCGTATGCATGTGTTTTTATATGACAAATGAACATGTGAATTTTTCTTTAGTATCAAAACTACAGGATCAAGCCTTTGATCCAGACTTACTGGAGTTGACCGATGGACGCATCCCTCGATCGATCAACACATCCCTCGATCGATCGACCGGAAAAGATTGCTGAGTTATAAAAGAATTTAAACTCCTTTTAAGACCTGATCGAAATACAACTCCTTAAAGCCTATAATACACATCTGGTGTATATGACCAAGGTATGAATTGAGATCCATTTGAGACTCCATATTAATTTATTTAAGTTTTTATAACCAAAATTAAGATCTCATGTACATCATACATTCAGATTTTGTATGAATCACTTGTGAGTTCATAAGTGCATCTTTGTTTTCAATATTCATCATATGCATTAGTATAGTGAGCTGTTGTTATATGTATTCACACATCCGCTGCCACACTGATCAAGCTTATTCAACACATTCAAGCAATCCACACCAAGTTCTCTACTGGACGAATAGGCTGAGACTGATCACTAGAGAAGCAGATCCGTGGTTGTGAATGTTGTAGATGAGTGGAAGGATGACCTGGAGATCTTCAGAGGACGGGGTTCGAGGGTACTAAACTGTAACCTAGGGTGTATATTTTTCTTGATAGCGGATTAGTTTTTTGGACTAGGTCCTGTGGTTTTTTGACTCTCGGTTGAGGATTTTTTCAAGGAAAAATATGGTTTCTATCTATTTCTCTTTACTGCTTTACATTTTTAAGTTTGCATGCATTGCTAATCTTCCATGACAATTTAAATTTCAGTTTATTCAATTATTATCCGAGATAAAACCAGATTAAAGTAAGAGAAATTAAATTTGTTCTACAAGACTTATTCATCCTCCCTCTAGGTCTAAATCAGACGACCTTGTGTGGCTCTTTATTAGAGTCTCAGGTTCCAGTTCTAACGTTTGCTCACGTTGTTATGATTCAATAATTCCTTATTTTCAAAATAAATTTTCAATGTCATGAGCCAACAAGATTCATGTTTATTGAAGCACCAAGACAAAGTCTGGTTTTTGAAATCTTTGTTGTTTTACTTACAGATGCAGGAAATAGAAAAAGAGAAAGTAGAGCCATTGGTGTTAGCATTGTTTAATGACGTGGGGAACTATTATCATGTGTTCTCCTTAATAAAGCATACAGCATAAATCAAGCTCACTACTTGTTTAATTTAGGACAACCTAGAGTATTTGTATTTCAGGGATGAAAAACGATGGAAAATGGTATTGTAACGGATCAAAATAAGTATAGTGCTAACTAGTAAGATTCTAGTATTCTAAGCCTTAGGTTCAGAATTTGGTAACTAAAAGGAGCAAAAAGATTCAGGGAAAGAAAATTTCAGGAAAAAAAATAAAAGAAGTGAATTGCCTTTAGCAGAAAAATGCTCAGCACACAAAAACTAAAAAAGGTGAAAAAAATAAAAAAAAAAAAAGGGGAGAGGAAATAACCAGCTCCCCAAGGGCTTGACTGAAAACCACATTCAAATCATTAGAAGAGTTCCACATTCACTCCACACCCAAGAAAAAAGCAACTCTAATACCATTTTACGAAAACGGCCATTTTTGTAGATGCTAAAAAATCCTAAAGACAAAAATAGGCCCTCTCAGAGTTTGGCCCACTCAGTACTGGAACCAAGAAGGACCCAAGTTATATATAATAATAATAATTTTTTTCCTAAGTTACTAAAGGGCTGAATTGCATACCAAGGGAAACTTCTAACCCAACCCAAAGTAGGATTTCTTTAATTTCTGTTAGAATGTTATATATATATATATATATATATATAAGTGTTGGGCCATTATGTAATTACAGAATGTTGATAGGGGCCCTTGTGTAGTTAAGTAAGACTTGTACTCTTTATATAAGCCTTGTACACTTTATTAGGTTTTTCAAGTATATGAATATAGACAAGTCTGAAACTTCTCTCTCCCTCTCATATATATAACTGTGAACATGGTATCAGAGCGTACGATCATGGGTGTGAAAATCTGTAATTGGGTTCTTCTTGTCTAAGATTCAAATTGCAGTTGTGGTGTTGGTGATCTCTACCATCGGTTCCTTGTTTGTCGTCATCAGCAGCGGCTTGTTCATCGTCGTCAGATCTGCGGCGTCGTCAGATCTGGGAGTTGCTCGTCGTCGTCTCTGCCGTGTTCGTCGTCACCGGCCGCTTCTCTTTGGTTGCCAGCGAGCTCATCGACCTCTGCAATCTTGATTCGCAGAGGTGAGGTTCATCTCTGTTGGCCGGAATTTGCAGCGATCGCTGCTTATTGGTTCGGCCGTTCCTTGTGATTGGGTCGCCGTCGTTGCCGCCGCATTATTCCCCGGCGTCCGTGAAGGTGTAAAGAAGAAGACCTCTGTTTGGCTACATGGTTATGGCTACTTCAACCTTGGTTTGCTAAACCTGGATAGTCCAATTCAGTCCAACCCGTTTGACCAGGTCCGTTGACCAGATCCGACCCGGTTTCCCAGGTTCAGCCAGAATACAGAATCTGTTTTTTTTCTCTCCCGCGTTTTTTTTTCTTCTCTGTTTTTTGCTGGATTCAACATGGCATCTAGTTCAGATTTACTGTCACCCACGAACAGTCTTCATTCTCCCATGACTTCAGTTAAACTGAATGGGAAGAATTACATATTGTGGGCTAAATCTGTTGCCATTTTCCTCAAAGGCAGAGGTCTTGGTTCACATTTGACTAAAGAGAAACCCAAGGCAGCTGATGCCTCCTTTGATGCATGGGAAAAGGAAGATGCTCAGATCATCTCTATGATGATAAACAGTATTGAACCCCAAATTAGTTCAACTCTACTTTATTTGGATACTGTCAAGGAGATATAGGACAGATTGCAGCAATTGTATTCTAGGACAGGTAATATCACTCGTGTTTATAAGCTCTGTAAGCAGTACTTCAATCTTGAACAAGGTACTCAAAGTATAGAAGAGTATTATTCTAAAGTTATGGGAGTCTGTGAAGAGCTGAATATGTATCAGCCCATTACAGGTGATGTTCGCAGTATGCAACAACAGCGTGCAGACTTTAATGTTGTCCGTTTTCTTACTGGTTTATCATCAGAATATGAGCCTTTTCATGCACAGATTATGAGCAGTCCAACACTTCCATCTCTTGCTGAGGTGTTTTCTAGACTTCAGCGTGCTACACTTGCAAGTGATACCTCAAATTTGACTACTGGACAGAGTGGTGAGCGTTCAGCATTAGTGGTCTCAAAGGGTGAACATAATACTTACCGTGGAAGTCGTGGGGGACGCTCCACCCGTGGTGGTCGTGATCCACGTGGAGGACGTGGCCGTGGCAGGGAATTCAAAAAGTGTACCCATTGTGGTCTTTCTAATCATACTGTGAACTTTTGTTGGGATCTTCATGGGAAACCATCTAATTATGCCAATCAAGTTTCCTCTTCTCCGAATGATGTTGCTTCTGGATCACATAACGTAGTTGAATCAGATACAGTTCCTGTTCCACGGGATGAGTATACCCAGTTTTTGTCTTATAAGCAAGCATCTAATTCGTCTTCCATGGCTACTTTTGCCCAGTCAGGTACTGCACACACATGTCTATTGTCTTCCACTCGCAGTCCTTGGATCATAGACACTGGAGCATCTAATCATATGACCGGATGTTCTTCTCTTCTATCTGATTTTCATTCTGTACATCCTTCTCAAAGTGTTACTCTTGCTAATGGTTCATCCACTCAGGTTTCAGGTTTGGGGACAACTACACTTAGTGATTCATTGTCTCTCTCGTCTGTTTTACATGTTCCGCAGTTTCCCTTTAATTTAATGTCTATCAGTAAGCTTACTAAATCTCTCCAGTGCTCTGTTACATTTGATCTTACTTCTTGTGTGTTTCAGGATCTCAAGACGAAGAAGACGATTGGTACGGGTCATGAAGCTGGTGGCTTATATTATTTTGATTTCGAATCTTCTCCTGTGGCTCTTCAGTCTTCTCTGTCTCCATTCCAGTGGCACTGTCGCCTTGGTCACCCGTCACTTCAAGTTTTGAAACGTCAAGTTCCTAGTCTTAGTCATTTGAAATTCTTGTCATGTGAAGTTTGTCAACTTAGTAAGCACCATCGTGTGTCTTTCAAGTCTAGGGTTAATAATCGTGTCTCTAGTTCTTTTCATTTGGTTCATTCAGATGTATGGGGTCCAATAAAACATTCTTCAATCAATCAATTTCATTATTTTGTGACATTTGTGGATGATTATTCTCGCCTGACTTGGTTGTTTTTAATGAAAGATCGTTCTGAGTTATTTTTAATTTTTCAAAAATTTCGCAAAGAAATCAAAACTCAGTTTGGATGTCCAATTCGTATTCTACGTTCTGATAATGCTAAGGAATATTCTTCAACTCCATTTGATACATATCTTAGTGATAAAGGAATTATTCATCAAAATTCATGTGTTTATACTCCACAACAAAATGGTGTTGCAGAACGTAAGAATCGACATCTTTTAGAAGTAACTCGTGCTCTTTTGTTTCATACGCGTATGCCTAAATGGTTTTGGGGTGATGCTGTTCTTACTGCCTGTCATCTTATTAACCGTATGCCATCATCTGTCTTAGATGGCAAATCTCCACATTCTATTTTATTTCCTGATTCTCCCTTGTTTTCTCTTCCTCCTAGGGTTTTTGGATATGTATGTTATGTCCACAATCTTGGTCCTGGTTTTGATAAATTAGACCCACGTGCCACCAAGTGTGTATTTCTTGGCTACTCTCGCTCTCATAAAGGTTATCGCTGCTATAGTCCTGTTTCTCAACGGTACTTTATTAGCGCAGATGTAACGTTTTCTGAGTCCATCCCATATTTTTCAGATACTGATTCACTTCTTGATATCACTCTTGAATCGCCTCCTTCTGCCGTTCCTCTTCCATCACTCTCTCTTCAACCTCGATCTCTTGTTCCTTCATCTGCCCCGTTACAGGTGTACACTCAAAGACCAAAGCCATCGGTTGTCGTGCCTCCTCCATCCTCTTCAGAGTCCTTGGATCCGGCGCCTTCCACTGTGGCTGATTCCTTGCCTATTGCACTTCGTAAAGCTCCTCGCTCATGTGTTACTAACCATCCCATTGCTCATTATGTCTCTTATAATTCCTTATCGCCATCATTCTCATGTTTTTCCTCTCAGTTGTACTACATTCGTTCCTAAGACTGTGCAGGATGCGTTATCTGATTTGGGCTGGAGGAAAGCAATGCAAGATGAAATGGATGCTTTGCATAAGAATGGCACGTGGGATCTTGTTCCATTACCACCGGATGTCAAACCTGTTGGTTATCGCTGGGTATTTACTGTGAAGTATCTTCCAGATGGGTCTGTTGAGTGTTTAAAAGGCCGTCTTGTTGCCAAAGGTTATACCCAAACTTATGGTATTGACTATGACGAGACATTTTCTCCCGTTGCTAAGATTTCTTCTATTCGTGTTTTGATTTCTCTTGCTGCTAATAGACATTGGCCTCTGTTTCAGTTAAACGTTAAAAATGCCTTTTTGCATGGTGACTTAGCAGAAGAGGTTTATATGGAGCAACCACCTGGGTTTGTTGCTCAGGGGGAGTATCTTCACACTGTTTGTCGCCTTCAAAAGGCTCTGTATGGATTGAAACAATCTCCACGGGCTTGGTTTGGAAAATTCTCTGAGGTGGCGTTAAAATTTGGTCTTAAGAGATGTCAGACCGACCATTCGGTGTTTCACCAGCGCACTAAAGCTGGCTTCATATTTCTTGTGCTGTATGTAGATGATATTGTGATCACAGGTGATGATTCTGAAGGCATTGCTAAGTTGAAGTTGTTTCTGCAATATCAATTCCACATTAAAGACTTGGGTAAACTTAGGTATTTCTTGTGCATTGAAGTTGCTAGATCCAAGAAGGGGATAAGTTTATCCCAACGCAAATATGTGTTGGATTTATTAGAAGAAACAGGTATGTTGGGTGGTCGTCCGGTTGATACTCCTATGGATTCAAATACAAAACTTGTATCTGATGAGGGTGATCTATTTAATGACCCGGGCAGGTTTCGTCGCCTTGTTGGGAAATTAATTTATCTCACTATCACTCGACCTGATATTTCATATGCAGTCATTGTTGTAAGTCAGTTCATGGGAGTTCCTAGAATGCCACATTGGATTGCTGTTCTTCGGATTATACGATATCTCAAGAAAGCTCCAGGTTTAGGGTTACTATATAAATCAAATGGTCATCTCAGGGTGGAAGGTATTACAGATGCTGACTGGGTTGGTTCTCCTTCAGATAGGAGATCTACTACAGGATACTGCACATTTGTAGGAGGAAATCTTGTTACATGGCGAAGTAAAAAGCAGACGGTGGTAGCTCGATCTAGTGCTGAAGCTGAATATAGGACAATGGCCCATACCACTAGTGAGTTGACATGGATACAACATTTTCTAAAAGAACTTGGGTTGATAGTTGAGTATCCTACTCCATTGTTCTATGATAATCAAGCAGCAGTTCACATTGCATCAAATCCTGTGTTTCATGAGAGGACCAAACATATTGAAGTTGATTGTCACTTTATTCGAGAAAAAATATTAAGTGGGAGCATCTCTATTCCATTTGTGAAGTTTGAAGATCAATTAGCTGATATTTTACCAAAGCATTGGGTCATAACCGGTTAAGAACTATTTGTTCCAAGCTGGGATTATTTGATATATATTCTCCAGCTTGAGGGGGAGTGTTAGAATGTTATATATATATATATATATATATATATATATATATATATATATATAAGTGTTGGGCCATTATGTAATTACAAAATGTTGATAGGGGCCCTTGTATAGTTAAGTAAGACTTGTACTCTTTATATAAGCCTTGTACACTTTATTAGGTTTTTCAAGTATATGAATATAGACAAGTCTGAAACTTCTCTCTCCCTCTCATATATATAACTGTGAACAAACGCTCTAACTGAAACTAGGGACTTTAGAATATTGTGACTTCTGAAAATAAAAACTTCAACAAACTTATAAAACTTTCTGCATTCCTAGAATGATTTACTAATCCTAGGCAGGAATACAAAATAATAAGGGACATAATCAAACAAACAACCCTGATATTAAAATTTCTCACATTCCCTGCACTAAAACTATGTTGTAGATAATTACTAGACACTTGTTTTGTTGCTCCAGCATCATCCCTCTAAATCTTCTTTTTCATTTTTGTCCTCTTTTTTTTTTTGCCCATTATTTCTCATGCCAGCATAAGTAATTCTGGTCAATTTTTTCATTGGAGAAGCAAGGACAACATGAATTTATGTCTCATCAATCAGTGATCACCTTGGATTCAGGGGCATATTCCAATCTGTGATTGTTCCCAATTGAATGAATATTGAAGACCTCAAAGAGGCTTTCCACATGTTCCCTTTTAATGATTTCACACAAAAGGCATAAACTTCTCAGAATTATATTCCTTTAGTTAATTTCATTGAATTGTGTCTCTGTCATTTTATATTCCTAGTTCCTCCCTTTCATGCAAATTTGTTCTCTTCTCAAGAAAATGGGAGCTAATATACTGGAGCTACGAAATTCTAAGTGCTCAAGCTGCAAAAAATGGACTGACTATTAAATCTGCATGTTTGCTCTGGGGCACAATTCCACTGCAGTGAGTAATGCACCCAGAATGCTATATTTAGTAGTTTTTAGCCCACTTTCTACTTTGGTCTGTTAGTATATTTGGGATTTTATTAATCACCAGAGAATATATTTATATATATTGAACATGTATTCAATAGTTATCAAATACTCCGACCACGTATCCAATACCTCAAGGACATATGCCTAACAACAACAACAAGCAACTGAGCACGCAAGCCTTTTTCCCAACTATTTGGGTCGGCTACATGAATCCTATGTTTCCATTCCGCTCTATTTAAGGCCATAACCTGGGTCAATCCATATGATATTATATCCTTCCTTACTAACTCTACCCAAATTAACTTTGGTCTTTCTCTTCCCCTAGTATTACCCCCAATGTAGACTATGTCACTTTTCCTAACTGGTGCACTTAAAGGCCTTCCTTGCACATGTCCAAATCATCTTAACCGATTTTCTCTCATTTTATCTCCAAATGCTACTCCAACCATATCCCGTATGTGATCATTTCTAAGTCTATCCTCTCTAGTAACCGCACATCAATCTTAACATTTGAATTTCTGCCACACTCCCCTTGTGCACATGTTGTTTCCTAACTGCCCAACATTCTGTGCCATTAAGTATGGCTGGTCTAGTAGGAACCAGCCATACTTTATGGCACAGAATGTTGGGCAAATCTACAATGTATATACATGTGCATTGCCATGTCCTTAATGTGTCCATATCCTACTTTTTAAAATTGTCGTATCCTTGTGTCTGTATTGTGTCATTCCCCGTATTTGAGTCCATGCTTCATAAGACTTTGTGTAAATCCTCTCTTCACAGGCATGTTCATGCATGAACTAGAGATTCCCTTAATATATGCACACATAATTTCATGGAAATTTCATATCATTTTTTCAAACTTCCAAAATATAGGATTTTCTTTTAGCACCAGATTGGCATATTTCATAAATCTCAGCATCTGTTATTCCTAGAAGAGAGACACAGTAAAAAATTCTGAGAAGTAGGAATTTAGAACTTATGCTAAGAAAAATTCTACAAGCAATAAAAAATACGGACCAAGTCAAGCAATTCAATGGTTTTGTTCATGCAGGGCACCAGTTTCAGTGATATCTTGGAGTTGAGCATTGGAACAAAATGCATGGTTGAAGCCATTTATAAACATAAATATTAAATTTTTGTTTCAGATAGAGGATTACAAAATATTCTATGGCATCACATCAGTATCAACTACAACAAAAATGAGTAATAAAATTGCTCTACATTTCAAAGCACAAAACAAGAATTCACGACAGAGTAACTTAGTAGTGTCTTGGATCTATGGCAAAATCAGAATTCAAGTTTACTATAGAACTAGTAACCCAAGTTATATTCATATGTCACTGTAAACACAAATATTGATCCAGAATTTACATAGAAGATGTAAAAATTCAGTAACCTTACTCTTCGGAGCATGATGGATCAGCATTAGATATTGAACCAACAACTACATCAATAGGTGGCAGAATTGCATGTAACCCACGTGCCATCACTGTTTTAGCTGTTCCACGCTTCCCACAGATTGCAATCCCTCCTATCTCACGGTCAATAGCCCCAAGTAAAAGAGCAGTCTTGATAGCATCCTGCAGAAAGAGTTTATTTAAAAAATATGTATTGATGGAAAGTTTTTATTAACAAGCAGTATCCTTTATCTCTTAAAATAACTTTAAGATGAAACTTCTAAAAACATCAAATAATTGTGTACAGAAAATTTATAACGAAATAACCTGTATGTAGAAAAGGTTATGTATAAGGCCAACTTTGGCCAGGATATATAATGACATCGATGCTAATGATACATCTAAGTTACGTGAAATCTGGATCTAATGAGACCTTCCACAGGAAAAAGCTAACAAAGTAACAAAAATTGTGCTATCAGATTTCTGATGTTTTCTTTGTTTTGGCTGTTTTGAGTGATTCTCGCTTGGCACTGGCTTCTTTAGCTTTATTGAGGCCAAGAAGCTTACTTGATACCTCATCTACCCTGCTATAAATTTTCACATTAAAACGAAAAAGATAAAGACATTGTTAAGATTTTCTTCTTTAAAATAAACTTTGAGTGAAATGTCCCAAATAGAAAACAACTTCAGTTTGAGATCCCATGAGCAAATCCAAAGCTAACCATTTACAAATCAAAATATCATAATATTTATTTGTATCTTCTCAGATTGTTATTATATGTGTAAAATGCAATTCCTCATAAACAAATCAAAAGCTAGATTTGATATACAAGAAGAGGATATATGCATTACTCCTCGTGAATGATTACCAATTTGTGTGTTTGAAGTATTGAGAACAATATCCTGATATTTAATTAATTCATTTATTTTGGCAGTTCTGAATTCCATTACACAAAGCGATTGACTCAAGCTCAGTTTCTTTCACATCAATAAGTATTTATCTGATCCTATCATCCTAGTTTCTCATGCCATTTTCATAACATGTGAATGTATTGGGTCTGCAAAATTGTATGTAATAGCCTTAACCTTGTAGATGGACACTGTAAGTTAGACACAGATAAATCATTACAACAGTTTCATTTGGATCACATGATGGGAACATGAAAAGTTAGTTCCTATGTGAGAGGGGTTCCCCTTTCTAACCAAAAATAAGGGCATTACCCAATTTTGCTCATGCCATGGCAGAGTCCTAGAAAAGGCAAGACTCAAGATAGTCCTAACATTTGGTATTTAACAAAGTGGCTGCTTTAAGGCTCAAACTTGTGCCAATGGCACAAATGCTCAATTGTTTACACACTGAACCAAGCAATGACCCTCTTTCTAACCAAAAAATAAGAGTTTATAAATGACGATCTTTAAGGTGAACAAGTTCCAAGTTTGTACTTAAGAGAGGCTAAAAATGCTTTGGGATTGTCCAATCTAGACCACGGATTGCTAGAGTACTGACCTTTATGGCAAACCTAGATTAGGTTGGGAAGGATCAGATGGCTTGAATGCATGCTATGACCACGGTGTCTTTTATAAACAAAACAATTTTCCAATGCAATGTGAACATTTTTACACTCTATAAATTCTTACTTTCTTTTTCTAAAGAAATCTTATTATTGTAGAATTGGTATACTAATATAATTCAATACCAACTCTAAGTCTGATGATCTATTTGATTCCTAAGGTATTTTTTTCCCGGTGTTCTTAAGAATGTTTAGGAAAGAGAAGTACACCATAAAGTCTTCAACAACCACTGAAATGCAGATTATTGATTTGGATTGATAAAATTTAATGTTTACAACTTCAATATCTTCTCCTTATACAGTCCCATTTTTACAAAATCATCATCCCAATTCAACATTAGATAGACTTAATTCTTCTTGGTTATGGCCCACAATCACAAAATTTATCTGCTGTTCCTTCTTCTTCTTCTTTTTTATATATATTTAATAAGTAAAAATAAATACAATTTTTATGAGGTGAAACATGCAGATTTACCAGGTTTCAATCACTCTCAGCTACCCTATCATGATTAAAAGTAACTTTAGTCATCTAATAAACAAGGAAGTGATATATATAATAGCTTGTTTCTATTCATCTCTCAACCAGATATCCAAAAGCAATCCCATTTCTCAAATAGTGAACTTTGCCACTATCGACTTTTTTAATTCATATTCTTCAAATTACTTATCTTCACAAATTCCCATTTTGAATTATAACAGGAAACATCAAAACGCACAAAATTCAGCTCCAAATTGTTCTCTAACACACACCCAAAAGAGCGTCAGTCTTTAAACAACTCATCCAATACAACCCACCTCAGCAAAAGAATACATTGACAAATGCAAAATTAACCCAACAAACCACAACATTTATGGATAAATTAAAACTAGAGAGAGAAAGAGAGAGACAGGGACCTGTCCAACGACAGCGGCTAACGGGAAGTACTGTCTTCCATAGGAGGTGGCGTCCGGCTTATCGGCGACGGCGACTGCCCCATTACTGGAATCAAGAGTGGCAGTGGCGAGAATACGAAGGCGATTGTGGAGGCGTTTTGGCTTCAAAGAGGAGGAGTGAGAAGGGTATAGTTTGAAGGAGGGAACTATGGAGGACTTAAGATTGGAGAGAGAATAACAAGTTGGAACTGTTGGCGAAATCGCCATAGTGGAAGTCCACAGAGTGAAAGAGAGTATATCTCTTCTTATCTGTTTTCTGTTGTCCAATTTGTATCCCCTCTCTCTGTGTATATATATTTATATTTATATTTATATTTGTTATGTTTATGCAAAGACACTCCACTCCATCGAGTTAATATAATGTTTGACAGTTTTAAGTAATGAGATTTTTTTTTTTTTTTTAATAGAAAATTTCAATTTGCCATTTTGAATTAATTGTATAAAACTCCATAAACCAAAAAAAATCAACGACTATTTGAGAGTGTAACATACAAATTTCTTATAATCCAAAGAGTTTGTGCAATAGACCAAGCAAATGTTTCCAATTTCTAAAAGTAAAAAATCTCATTTTCCTTTCTCCATGGGACAACCCCTTCCTCCCTTACGTCTCCCTGCTTCCTTTCATGGGAGTGGGAAGGTGTCATTTTTGCCTCCAACAGTTTCAATAAACTCGGCGTGTGTCAATAAGTTCGCTCTGTGGGTATTTTTCACGTCGTTTTTACTTTTGTTCGGCTAGATCTGTTCATGTTTGGCTTATTTTCGACTAGTATGGGTGGATCTGCTGTTTTCTCTCCGGCTAGATCTCTGATATATGTTGGTTTTGGTTATCCTCAACTTGATCTGATTGTTTCCACTTTATTTGATCTTGTGCGGGTTTTGATGGCTTTCCCTTCGTCAGAAGCGCCTTATGAATGTAACTTTGTGTTGGAATTGCTCTGCACAATCAACCGAATTTGATACCAGTTGTTCTGGCAGAAACGCAAATAACAACGCTTTTCGAGGAATAATCACAAGTAATCACAAAGAAAAATTACACACAAGAACACAAGATATACATGGTTTACCCAAATCTTAGGGCTACATCTATGGAGCACACCGAACAAATTCACTAGAAAAAGATGAAGAATTACAATGGAGACGCTCTTTCTTGTGTTGGCACAAATTAATTATACAACATGTGATACCCCCTGATTACGGAACACAGATTGATCAAGTCCGCGCACAAAATCAGGGAAATATCAAAACAATTAAAGTATTTAACAAACACAGAATACAAAGATGAATAATAAAGAATAAATAAACCGCTGAAAAAAACTAATAAATAAATATTACTTAATGATTCTCCAACAATTACAACTTGGGAATCCCATAACTCAAGGACCCTTTAAAATATTATCCAATAATCCAATACTACTTAAAAGTACACAAGATGAATAAATGAATGACAATCTCCCAGCTGCGGATCCTCAACCTCGAGACTGGAACCTCTAATAACCTGAAAAATAAATCATGGGTTAAACCCTACGAGCAAGCTCTCTCTACCAGACCTCAGAAAACCAATAAGCAGATCATCTCTGATCAAAACCAAACCTAATGAAGTTTTTTTTAACTTTAATCTAGCATGATAAATATATATATAAACAACTATATATACTACACTAATCACATCCATTAATAGATTTATTAAATTTCCAAAACTATTAAACAATGATTAAAATAATAATCACACCTATACCAATTCACCATTTCTTTTAAAAAGAAATTCCTTTAACTTTAATCCCATCCTAGTGAGTTGTTAATCATTTAAACAAATAAATTATAATAAAAGGAATATTATATTTAATCCTAAAACCCCATAATGATTTTAATTATTTAAATCACATATATCAAAATCTAAGGTTTGACAAATCATCTATGTCTCCACCAATATTATTTTATTAATATAAAATAATACACTAACCTTTAAGTACTAGCTTATTCTAATTTAAGAATATCTAGTCCTAATCCAATCTATACATACAATAGCCATTGATGATATTTTAATCATCTAACATGTAGTAATTTAATTACGCTTTGGCAAATCAACCATGCCATTGTAAATATTTTCATTTATAAATTGGCAACTCAACTATGCCTCCTTGAATATATTTATTTATACCTTGGCAAATCAACCATGCCCCCTTAAGTATATATTTATTTATACTTTTAGTTAGCAACTCACCCATACTTCCCACGTATGTATTTTATTCATACAAGTAAGGTAATATATTTAAGTCCTTAGCAACTCATCTATGCCTCTAATTCAACCATGTATCAAACCTTAAAAGTTAATTTATCAACTAAACAATTCCTACATAGAAAATTAACTTACAAACAAAACAACTTATACCTAGGCATTCCATACATACCTTATGCATATACTTAATTTAATAACCAGCCTATCCATATATATCCAGTAAGAATAATAATTTAACTATCTTACATGATATATACATATACCAATATATTATACAATATATATATATATGTATAATACATTCCATATAATATATATATATATATATGCTTCATTTCACACTAATCATAAGTTAAATAAACCACACATATACATATATAATTAAGTATATAAATATATACACTTCATTCCGTAATAAATCATTAATTTATTATATTTACGCAGATTAACGGCTACTAAAATATCTTAGTAATACTCTATGGCTCTTAGAACACCTCCTCCAAAGGTTGATTTCAACCCTAACACGTTTGACATAAATTCTGGAACGTCACCGGATCCCACGGAAACTTTCCGGGACCTCAAACACCTATGCACGCGCCTCTATAGCCTTTTCCAGGGTCGCACGGGCTCCCACGCGCCCCTACACGCCTGGGAGTTGGCACACGTACACACGCGCTGGGACGCGCTTCCACGTGCACGTACACGCTGCCACGCGCACTGGCTGGTCCTCTTGGTGACGCGGCGTGCTCCCATTGGTCGGTTGCATTGTGTTCGTATAGGTACGTTGTATTGAATCCATCCAACTATGATCAGACCCCATCCATTATTCTGATTCCCATGCGCACCATAACTTCATACGCCGCGAAGCACCAGATCATTTTACTAAACTTATACTAATCTAATGGTCCTGATTGCGTGTGTACCATCCTCATATGCATAAGCCCACACCGAAGTAATTCACCATTGAGGCACCCAATTACTGAAGTCTTATGTACACAGTATATATAATATATTATATTTATACACATAAATAATTGTATATATATAATTCTAAAAATACCAGAAAAATATAAAACAAATCCAGAAAAAATACAGAAAAATTTCCAAAAATGCTAGAAAAATTCCAGAAACCTTATTCAACCTATTGGGTCACAGATCAACCTATAACTTAATTTTAAAAATATATAACACCTATATGCACGATTAAAATCTGATAAATCCACAAATCAAATATAATAATTTATGTATTTAATTATTCCGATTTAACCATGATTTGATTAATAAATTTAGTCTAAAATTCTGATACTCAAGGTGATAAACTTATGGGTTCTAAGAGGAAAGTTAGAAAAGAACTTGCCTGAAGGTTTCGAAACGAAACCGACGCTTTAATCTTTAATTGTCTTTTCAAATTCCGGCATCCTCTTTCTCAGATCCAGCCTACTCCTTGTTAGCTTTCCCTTCTTCTTCTCCTCTCTCTATCTATCGTATTTTTCTAACGTACCAACTTTTTAACCCCAAACCTTATGTGTATATTTATACACATTAAAACCTAAATCCTATTCCAACTAGGACTACCTAATAAGATAATAACCTTTAAATAATATAATATATATAAACATATATTATATTACACACATATATATATTTATCTTCCATAATTAACCATTAGTTAATTAAATCATATAAACCTATATATATCCGTAAATATATATATCTATATATATCTTTCCCTAACAATTATTAATTAATTATATTTATATATAATTTTATATATTTATAATTAATCCCAAAAATGATTATTTAAATAATTAAATAACCATGGGCCTTTATTAATTAACCCAATAAGGCCTCCTTCAAGCCTAAGACCATATCCTTTGGTCCAACTTCCCTTAAGCCCAATCCAGATAATTTAAATAAATTAAATAATTAAATAAACACTTAAATTAAAATAACTAATTATATAAAGAACATAAACAACCAAGAATTTACAATTAAGTCATACCATACCAATAAAAATTAACACGCCAACAATTCAGTCAATAATTAAACTCACACCACAATCATCATATCAATAATTCACGAAATATAAATAAATAAAACAATTAATCTAAGCACTCAATAAAACAAATAAAATAAAATAAAAATAAAATAGACACAATTAATTCAAATTAAATCAAATAAATCATTTAAAATAAAATAAAAATAATTAATTTCAATTATTAATTCCTTTTAAATATCGGGGTATTACACAACTCGTATGATTTCTCTCTAATTCTCACACTTTTCTTCACACCCTAAAAAACTAATTAGGGTTGATATTTATAGCCCCATACAATGGAAACCAACTTGTCAATACAAGAATTGTCTTTTGTAGAGTTCAATTCCAACAAAGAAAGTAAATCACGAAGCTTCCCAGAAGTGTTGAACCGGTTCAGCCTTTCTGGAACCGGTTCAACTTGTTACCCAAAAGCTTCTGCAACATTCTGCCACTTTTGAACCGGTACCAAGAATTAGCTACCGGTTCCCACTAGACAGTGGCTGATCTCAACGTTTCCTTGATTTGGCGTTCAAACATTCCAGTAACCAAAATATTAAAATCATTAGTTTCCCAAAAAACTTCACGTTATCAACACGTGATCAGACTCCACAAAAAAAAAATACAACAATCTCCCACTTAGAGGCTGGAGCACTTGTAAACCCATTTCATCTTCTTCTCATGCATGTCCTATGCATATGGGTGCGCTTCTCTCTGTCTTCAAACTAGAAAACCAACTGAAGTTGCGCACAACTTCAGTTTCTCCATGGTCACTATCTTGGTTAACATATCAGTCCGATGGTGCCAAGTGTTTTCTCAAGTGTCAACACCCCATCTGCTAATAAAGATCTGAAGAAGTGATACCGAAGTCTTATATGCTTAGTCCTTGAATGAAATGCCGAATTCTTTGCCAGATGTATTGCACTCTGACTATCACTGTGCAAAACATTCTTCACCTGTTTGAATCCCAACTCTATCAACAAACCTTGTAACCAAATTATCTCCTTACTGGCCT